CTTCCATTGTTTTTGGATATCTTCTGGAGGGAGCTCGTCCCAAGATAGACCGAGAATCCACAGCTTCTGCACCAAAAACTTTGCGAAGAAAGTTATGGGAGAGAGGAAACCACACGGGTCATAGATCCTGGCGAGTTCGCTTAGAATGGTGCGTTTACTGCATACACGAGTCTGTGGCTTGACTTCGAATGTGAAATTATCCAAGCCAGGCTCCCACCTTAGACCTAAGATTTTAAGAGTATCGGATGATTCTTTGTCTAAAGATACAGAATCTGTTAGACAGTGTTCTGGAGGAAGGTCAGCGAGCAAACTGGGTTCATTACTGGCCCACTTTCTTAGCTCCATATGACCACGTTTGAGGAGCTCTGTCACTTCTAACTTAGTTTGGATAGCCTGATCAAGACTAGAACAGCTGGTAGCGACGTCATCTATATACACATCAGTCCGTAAAACAGCTTGACCGAGTGGGAGGTCATTGCCTTCATCATCAGCCAGTTGCCTGATAGTGCGACAAGCTTGATAAGGAGATGACGAAACACCATACGTGACGGTGTTCAATCTATATTCTGAAATTGGCTCAGAGGGATGGTATCTCCAAAAGATTCTTTGAAAGTCACGATGGTCTTCACGTATGAGTATTTGACGATACATCTTGCACACATCGGCTGTAAATACGACACGGTGAACGCGAAATTTAAGAAGAATTTCCAAAATGTTAGCTTGTAACTTTGGACCAACTAATAACGTGTCATTCAACGATTGTTTTGTGATGGCGTCACGACTTGACGCATCAAAAACGACGCGAAGCTTTGTAGTACTGCTGTCAGGTCGCAGAACACAAAAATGAGGAATGTAATACTTTCCTTTTTGTATATCTCTTGTGGACACATAAGTCATGTGACCACATTGAAGATATTCAGCCATAAAATTCGAATATTGTTCCTTTAGAACTGGATCTAAGGAAAGCTTACGTTCTAACGAATAGAAACGCCTAAGAGCTAGATCTCGCGAACCTGGGAAAGACGGTTCTTTGTCCTCACAAAAGGGCAAAACGACACTATAGCGTCCCGTTGCATCACGAGTAGTTGTGTTACGGTAAATTTGTTCACAACGTTCATCTGCCGCGCTCAACCTTTTGACACACGAAAGATTATCTAGTTCCCAGAACTTCTTGACTTCCTGAAACAGCTGATCATCTGTGACGAATAACGAAGTGGTTTTGTATCTGTCTTTACTATCTTCAGCACTTCCTATAAGAAGCCAACCAAACACAGAGTTTAAGGCCGAAGGTTGGTTCGATTCCCCGGTGACACTTCCGGGAAGAATGAGAGATGGAAAGATTTGAGCTCCTAAAAGGATATCTACCGGACCCGGTTTGTCACAGTCTGGATCAGCAAGGTTAAGACCACGAATGTGAAGCCAAGATGATTTATCGAGTCTTACGCTAGGCATATTTCCGCAGATGTTAGGTATAGTCAGCGCTTCTATATTGAAAGCCACTTGACCATTTAACCCTATTTGAAGTTGAACAGCTCCAGAGATGGAAGCTGACGATTGACCTACACCCCTAACCTGGCGTGTAGTCACACGTTTGTCAAGTCCAAGTCGCTCTACTGCACGCTCTGAAATGAAATGGGTTTGACTACCAGTGTCGATTATGCAGCGAAATGGCTGGTAGGAACCCGACGAATCACGAATATATATAACGGCAGTAGATAGAAGAACAACCGATGAATCGCCTACACTTGTCAATACACGAGTAGGTTCACTCACGGAGGGTTTATGTTCAGAAGAATCCACATCACTCTCCTGGTGAAGAAGAGTATGATGCTTTTGATGACATTTCTGGCATCTGAAAATGGATTTACAATCGCGCACGACATGTGAAGGCCGCAAACAATTGAAACACCACCGATTGATTTTCGCAAAATCGCGTCTTTCCTGAATCGATTTACCAGAAAATATCTTGCAATGTGAAATCGAATGAGTTTCTGAACACGCAGGGCACTTAGAGGCCACTCCAGGGACAGTAGTCGGAGAAACAGACGATTTACTGACTTCTATCCGGTTTGTTGTCTTCTCTGAATTGTATAATAATGAAGAAGTAATTTTCTTGTTATTATGATTAGACTTGACAGAATTTTTAATAGATCCACTAGAACTACTAGTAGACGGTTGATCACGATTAGTCGAGAAATGGGTGTCCCGGACGAGTGCGTCACATTGACTTTCTAAAAATCCTTTTAGCACAGAATAAACGGGTAACTCTGACGTCGGATGAGCTTTTTCAAAGGCGCAGCGAGTTTTCGAATCTAATTTCGAAAGCAAGTGATAACATAGGATAAAGTCCCAATGTTCCGTTGGTAGCTTAAGACTTTTTAGAATTACTAAGTTTTCGTTAAAAAGGTCCAAAATGCGTCTAAATTCAGTTGGTGAGTTAACTTTTAAATTTATGTTTTGTATTTCTCGCCAGCACGTAAAGGCGAGTTCACGATTATCACGATAACGAGTTACTAAAGTATTATACGCTTCCTGATAGTATTGACCTTGACTCGGAAAAGTTCGAATAAGTCCCAAAGCATCACCAAATAAACTTGCTCTAAGATATTGCATTTTATCTGAGTCCGAAAGTGATTGATTAAAATGAATGAGAGAATTAAAAGCATCAAAGAACATATTGAAATCCTTAATACATCCTGAAAAACGCGGCAAATCAATTTTCGGCAGTCTTATCGCTGAAGCAGGTGGAGCACTCGGCACAGAGGGCGCTATAGTAGAGGGCGCAAGCTTCCGATGCAAAACAAGTATTTTAAAATTAATGTCGTCAAAATCAGAACGAATTTCATCCTCGGCCTCCATATCACAATCTTCCACGATGCTTAAAATATCTAAATGTGCTTCTTCAAAATTATTCGCTAACTTTTGCATTGAAGAATAATGTACGATAAATTCGTCTAAACGAGAAGCATCTAACTCCGCTGCTAAAGCAATTTCCAAAATTTTGCGCAATCGATTTAATGCTAATGTTCTTTTACGACGCAAAACAGGCAAGTCCGCGTACGTAAAACCAACAGGTTCAACTGATTTAGATTTGCTCAATCTTTTACCACGTTTGACATTAAATGCCATGTTTGTATCAATATACGAATGAAAATTAATCGAATAGAAAAATAATCGGAATGAAAATAATCGGTTTGAAAAAATCGATTTCTATCTCGAAATGTTATGTCCCCACACTATTCGGACGGACCAGATTTTTATTACAAGTCTACCCTCGAATTGAATGATAAAAATTGCACTGAGCTAAAAATAGATTTAAGGAATTTGTTATTACGTAATGTTTACAATTTACAGTTTGAAACTTTTACAAATAAATTTATTTTTATTTGTTACGTGTGGATACAAATTGATATGTGAATATGAATGTGATTAGAATTTCCGTTATGATAGATTTGTATTTACGAATACGAATGGATTTAACAAAGTATTTACGTGAAATAAGTAAATAAAAATGTTCGAGAACTTAATTGTTGAGACGATAACTATACACATTAGCACACGTACTGAATATGTACGAATAATTTACGTGAACTAAAGGCGTACGGAGCAACAAATGTTCAGAAAGAATTTTAAAACAAATCATCGAATTGTTAAGTTTATGAAAACTATGGCTATGAATTGGCAAGATGAAGTAATAAGCAAACAAAAAAAAAATATTTTCTTACGAATATGGCTGATACGTAAATGTACGTTCACGGATGAGAATGGAATGTTTGTTACTTTCTTCACCAAAATGCGATCTCGAGCATAAATAAGGATAAAGTAACAAGCAGAATATTGTTTTCTAACGTGTTGTTCATATATTTCGGAGAAATATTCATTATCTAACGTGATTTGAAGCGATAAATAACGGTCTCGATACACGGTCGGCCATTGAACAAAAGACGAAAGACAAATGTATATTTCTTACGATTAACTACTTATGAGAGTAGTCCCGGGTTTCGGCACCAGAACAATGTAGCGAGACCGGCTATATCCGCAACATTAGGGGTTGGAAATTAAAATGAAAAATGAATTCCCAAGACGTATAAAAGAGCAATCACACAGACAGAAAATAAGGAATATATTAGCCGCCTTACCTTATTCCCTCGAACGAATGTCCCTCAGTTCCAAGATACACTAGAAAACACTGCACAGTATTTTTGTGGTATTTCACAGGAGATCGCACACGTAATAATTCACAAAATTATAGCTTTTCTAATCACATATCTAATATACGAAAATTCGTAAGACACCAACCACCGCATTCAACAATTGCAGTGCAGATACGAGCGCATCGCTAGTGCGGTGCGCACACGCAGATCACATACGATGGGCGATATCGATTTTATTCGAATGAGTCCCTAATATACCCACCCAGGTAGACGGCTTGTATGTTTGTGTGCATACTTAACCATTATTTTCTTCCATGAATAATTGCCAAATTAAACGTCTTGGGAATGAAAATGTCGAGATGCTAGGTGCAAAGTAAATAGGGATACGATCACGATACAACACCTATTCAAATAGTTTTTGATCTACTGACATGACGAGTAATTGATCTATCGATTTTTTTGTGATTCGATCAAATAGCATGTCTATATATTGGGTTTTTAGTTAATTGTCGCCGATTAACTAGCATTCGGCATACTACAATGCAAGTGTTGATAATTTGACATATAAATATAATTTCTTGGTATTCGATATGGCGTAGAAAACTCTAAAAATAGAAAAGAAAAATATGTAAGATTTGGCGTCACAAGTTCACAACCAGCGAGGCAGCTAGCTAGGCAGCTGGGTGGGTAGCTTGATGGGCACTTAGGTGTGTTACCACTGAGCTCGGTGGCTGTGGACTTGGTTTAAAGTTTTAGAAAGACCTAGTAATTTTATTTTGGTACACCAACAAAATACATATATTTCATTTAAATTACTTTTATTTAGATTCAAGTATCTTGTCCCAGGTTTACTCCGACTGCAGCAGCTCTACCAATCCATGCAGCCAGGCCGAACCGCATTCCGGATATCACTCGTGAAGCGAATCAATAACGCATCAGACGCTATGGATTTCCTGTTGGCCCTCGAACAGCACGATCGCTGGGGAAACAAACGCATTGTTCTTGATTGTAACACCAAAAACGCCAAGAGCATCATACTAGGCCACGTGCGTAAAGTGCAGCTGGGCCGACGGACTTATCACTACATGCTGAGTGGATTGGTAAGTTGTGTCAAACTTTTCTATAATAATAAAACCAACTTAATAAAACAAGTTTCAACGGGTTAGATGCAATGATTTTATTTTTTATTTTCGTTTCGCACCCGTTTTTTTTCCAAACATTTTTAACGGCCATGCGCCTGCTGAAGAGCGACGTAGCAGCCTAAGTTGGGACGCGCTTGCCTAGAAGAAACCGATTCACTCGCTACTTTGAATAGCCCCAGATTATAGGTGACTGGATGACTGACTGATTATTCTGACGACGCATTCCTGAAAAGGGTGCGAAACGTCAATAAATAAATAAAATCAGTGAATCTAACCCGTTGAAACTTGTTTTATTTAAAAAGAGATTTGCGTGAAAACCCAAGAAACAAATAAATAAAACTACCTTCCAACAGGTTATAAATGCGATTTTTATATATACTATTGTACATACGTCTACGTTTCGCATCCTTTACAGACTGCGTTCTCAAGAGTATGATTTTCAATAATCTTTCAATGAAGTATCCGAACGTTCTATAAAAGCCTTTCGAAGGTAGCTCGTCAAAAGTAATGAATACATTATTCTCTTGAGAACGCAACCTGTTAACGATGCGAAACGTTATTGTAATATGTATTAAAAGTCTAGAAACCGCATTTTGAACTCGTTGAATAGTAGTTTTATTTAATGAGTGGTGAGCATGAAGATATAAATAAATGCTTTTCTTTAAAAGTTAGTCTTTATTAAAAACAAAACTTTCAATTTGATTTAAGTAACACCCTAATTTTTTGTTTTGGATAAATGCTGATGAGGGATTCATTAAATCAATACTAGCTTTATTTTTTTAAACATCTAACTGCTAGATGTTTAAATCTCAAAAAAGTTTTACTAGACAAAATCCCACGCGGACCAAGCAGCAGACGGGACTGGATAGACTAATTTTTTTGATGTTATCTATAATAATAATCCATATAATCATAAACATTATTACAAAATGATATAACTGTCACCCATACTAGGCGAAGCCCGTCCTATGGGGGAAGTAAACATTTAACAATATATCATTTACAGCCTAAAAATACAAACAACTAAATAGAATGGATGCATAGGTGATAGTACGCGCGTATGTCTGTATGTTAGTGTCGCCGCACACGGGCCACACACCTCAGCCACAAACGCTGCCACGAGAAGCTAGAAGCGGCTACTAAAGTGGCTGAAACGCGCGACAGCGGCCGACTAAGGTAAGGGAGAGAGGGGTGGGAAATCACGCGAGTGACGTGTGGCGGCGTTTTGTATCGGCGCATTAAGCGGCCGGTGCGGGCCACAAGAAGCGAGCAACGACGATTTATGTAGCGTGTGGCGGCCACCGGGGCGTACCGTGTGTGGCGAGTCCTTATAAAATGTATGAAAACAACAAGAAATATGCCGGTGGCGGCGTTTTGTGGTTGTGGTCGATGGCCCGTGTGCGGCGACACTTATGGGTGTTTGTAACTGTGTGTTGTGTGTGTAAGTGCATATTCAACTCATTATCCTTAAAAGATTCGCTGCTCTGTCATACGACCATTTTAATAACATTTTTGAGACGTTATTTCGCTGTCACACTATAGGCTTGATTATTGTCATATTTCTTTATTTATTTTTTCCCACCCATAGGCAGTTTATTATCGGTCAATAATATCGGATGCATTATGGCGATATATCGTCATACTTCAATTGAGTGGTTATTATCGCAGCAGTGTTTAACTTCGTAGCCGTTACTATACATTATGTAATTAAAGCAAATATAGCAATAACGCATCCGATATGAAACAGTTTAATTTATATCTTACACTAACTTCCAATTTCTATCAAATTATGCACTCCATGTTTAAATCAGTTAAAAATAAGTCGAGTAATCGTGTTTTTTCTCAAATGAAATGTCGGAAAAAGTGACAACCGGAAACAGTGAAATACACTAACACCATTTCCCATCAAATTCAATGATCATCGTGCTGCCGGCACTTTTTTCGATTTCCTTCTTCTAGTATTTTACAGGCTGAAAGGCAGCTCATTTTTTTTCTTGATATGATTTACAAACTTTTGTTTCCTTAATTTTTAATAAGAACAAATCAGAACACCCTTAAAATGTAATTTATTATATAAAAAAAAAGCAAGTAACTGAAATTGTTTGTATATAAACATGTTGCAATTTTTTTATTAAGAAAATTTATATAAAAATCAAGCAGTTAAATATGCTAACAGTAAAAAAGTGTGTAGCACTCAGTGTAACTCTCACTCATTAATCCTCACTGGGCCCTCGTGGCAAATTCATGGCCCAACCTCCCTAATATAACAAAAATATCTATCCTACCCACCAATCTGCACTGAGCCCACATGGCGAATAATGGCCCAATCTCCCTATTACATAAGAAAATGTATCCTATCCACCAATTCGTACTTTGAGCTCGTGGTGGGTAGGATTGCAATGACGTATATAAAGGCCAATGACGTTATCGTTATCAATGATGTTTTTATGATTATATAATAAACCAGTCTGTGTAACTAATTAGAACCTTTGCTAATTAATCATCAAAACAACATGTCACTTATTTTCCGAAAACAGTTTATTATAATTGGCTTATTTCACTTTGTGCCCATTTTTTACTAATCAACATAAAAATAAAGCGTAACTATTTAATATAGAGGCGATTCATTTCTTATGTTATATTTTTGATAGACGACCAATTTTGTAATATGCTAGTTTAATAATTAATGATTTTCTAAATTAAAGGATAATGAAATAAATATCCACGCAACATTGAAAGGGGTACTTTAATACTGAGAGAGGCGCGGTATGCGTGTCATTTAAAAGTGACGGAAATAGTACGTTTATCTTTTTCTGGCCTAAAAGAGCCTGTTTTGTTATTAATAAACTTATAAAATACATGTTTTTATTTATTTTTAAGCATTTAACTGCTAGATGTTTAAATCTAAAGAAAAGATTACTAGAAAAAATCCACGCGGACCAGCCAGCGGACGGGACTCGAACCCGCACCCTTCGCAATCCGGGCGAATGCACTGACCTTTAAGCTACCACGGCCCTATTCGCCGGGTCGAAATTTTCTTAGCTTTAAGCTGCAAGGCAGCGCCATCTCTTCGCATTGTAGGTAACCCACAATGTCAAATGAATACTTTTTCAAGTATTAACATTTGAAAGAAGAAATAGCAATTATAGTAATGTTTTTATTTATTTTTAAGCATTTAACTGCTAGATGTTTAAATCCACAAAGAAAAGTTTACTAGAAAAAAATCCACGCGGACCAATCAATACGAAAATCAATAGTTGAAAAAGTATTAATTTGACATTGTGGGTTACCTACAATGCGAAGAGATGGCGCTGCCTTGCAGCTTAAGGCTAGGAAAATTTCGACGCGGTGAATAGGGCCGTGGTAGCATAATGGTCAGTGCATTCCCCCGGATTGCGGGTTCGAGTCCCGTCCGCTGCCTGGTCCGCGTGGATTTTTCTCTAGTAAACTTTTCTTTAGTTATGAAATATATGTTTTTATGTCGTTTCAAGTTTAAAAGTCATTTTGCTATTTTTTTTTTATTAAAGTCACTTCAATTCTCTGACTGCGGTATAATATATAGACAGGAAATTCGCCAACATTATTGCATTTTACAATAGCACAAGTAGTCCCCGCCCTAACTTCTCTCGGCAATAACCGCCAATAAAGCGCACTCAAGTAGTCTGTTTCACTCTCATGCATAAAGCAGACTACATCTCGCTCTTTAGTCTCCTCGTGTCAACGGTATCAGCAACTGTCAAAATAAGTAATCACTAAATATTTTCAAATTCACTTCCTTAAAACTGTACTTACGAATGAAATGACACGTTTTGCTTGTCTATAATAGTTTCCGTGTTATTTGTATACTTTATTAAAACACGTAAAATATTTACCCAATTCCGTCAAACTATTACAAAAAAACTGTAAACCGAGTCCACAGCCGTCGTCAGTGGTCGCCCACTAAGCTACCTAGCTAGCTGCCTCGCTAGATTGTGAAGGAAAACCTATCTTTTTTCACCTAGCTCCTTAGATTAAAACAAAAAGGGTAGATACGGCACTAGCCTCACAAAAGTGATCCGCATGAATTGTGGTCCACGACCCTAATCGCTTTAGCGTTAGGTGATACCACATTGTGTCGCGCCAGCGCTGATATTCTGGCAGGGCCTGCTTGAAGTTATATAAGCTGGCGGTTAGCGCGCGAGGCGCTCGTTGATATAGACCCGAGTGCCGCCCCCCACGGCGGTGGCCGGCGGGCCGCCCTCATCAGCGGTGTCCGGGGCGCCGTCCACCGAATCCGTGACCCTCCGCAACAGTGACCCTGCGGCGCACACGCGCGACTGTCAAGAGGTCGTAGCGCAGCTGACGGCACGCCAGGCGCACCACCCTTAGATTAAAATAAAAATGGTAGATACGGCACTAGCCTCACAAAAGTGATCCGCACCAATTGTGGTCCACGACTTTAGTCACAACTTAACATGCAAATGACGAACATGTGAACGCCAAAAAGAAATATTGCTAATATTTTGTGTTTATATGATAAAACAATGCCTAAGTGTGTTTTTAAAAAATGCTCAAATTGCTCAAGAACTAAAAATAACACCCACAGCATCACTCTTTATTCGTAAGTACTATAAAATATATTTTTTCATAAAAATTGCTGTTTGTTTTGAATCTTATTCGGTAGTGACGTCGAGTACTGGTCGAATGATTGGTCGGTAGTACAGTGACGCGGATCTCGCCGTCCCTCTCGCGCTGCCGTGGGATCAGTTTTTGTTTGATGCAAGTATGAGCGTACCGTATCTACCCTTTATGTTTTAATCTAAGCCTAGCTCTCATCCGCCATTGCCGCCGAAAATCAACTTTGTTACTAAAGTATAAAATAAAATAGTTTTCTTTTAAAGTTTCGTTCGTATTTTGGCATTGAGTCAAAACTAGAAAAAACACTGTTCTGAGTACTCGGTTGTCTGAAAAATGCAATTACACCTAACACAGAGCTAACGGTATTACCTACTTTGAGTGAGAATGGCAAATACTGTACAAAAACTTCCAATAGCATACACCTGTTTCAGCCAACAATCGGAAACGCCGTGAAGTATTATGGGTAGTCGTTTAGAAGAAGTTTTTTCTCAGTGGGATATTGTGTTTCATTATTTTTTTCTGTAAATCTGTTGCAGTAGGTCTCAAATTGTACGTTCTTATCAATCTTTGTTTTCTGATATTATGTATTATGTTCTGTTGTTCAGTTAATGAAGGCGTATTTTAAAACTTTGTTAAAAAAATAGACAGGTTGCACTCCGGGAGTCAGAAGTGAAAGCTTGAATATTAACGTTGTGCATTTTTGTTATTTTGGAATGGTTAGGGAATAATTTTGCACAAATTTCTTTAATTATCAGTATAAAAGTACTATTATGTATGTGGTAGAATACAATATTTATTTATTGTGCTATCGTACACAAACATGACAATTTATATTACATTAAAAAAGTTTATCTCTCAGAAAAATCAACTTACATGAATCACGTTTCAGCGCACTTAGCGACATCTATTGTAAAGAAATCAACTTACATGAATAACATTTAAGCGTACCTAGCGACATCTATTGTAAAAAAAATGCATTTGATTCGCACAATAGAGCTGCCACGTGGACGTCCTAGATAGAGATTTATTATTAATAATACGGTAAAATATTACTATGTTGCGTCCAATATATTGTAAGTCAACAAGTTTTTTACCCATACAAAAAAAAGTGTACAACGCCGCTACGTGCTCGACTGATTCCTCCTTGGTTTTTATCACTAAAGAATTTTTTTTTATTAAAATATTTTTTTTTATATATATAATATACTTTTACTCATTTTATACTCCTATGTTTTCCTTTTTTCGATAACTTGTGTTTCAAAGAAACTTGAAGCCCCGACAAAGGGCAAAAAATAAACATATTTTTATCACCACTCAACACGTTTAGTGTGGAGATTTAATAAGCATTTACAGAAAATCAAAACATAGAAGTATAGTATAAATACTTATTATTCTTTTTGTCAAAATTAATTTATATATATCAAATTATCGAGGAGGAAATCGTCGAGAGCCAAACCTCGAATTGCCAAACCAAAGCCAAACCTGCAATTTTTTATACGCAATTTTCAGCGTTACCTTCTGTTGTCCCCATCACACGGGATTTGCTAATGCGTGACAGCAATGGTTTTTTCAAATACCTATTCCTCAAATGTCTCTCAGCTCGCGTCCGCTCTTAACCTGTTAAACAATGGCAAACGTACTTACAATAACTTTACTTTACTAGTAAAACAGTAGAATGAGACAACACGTCACATTGGCAAGCATGAAATTTCATCGCGTGCATTCTCTTTAACGACGAAAGTATCAAGTATAATATCCTATTTATTCATGCAGGGGTAAACTTGGTTTTCATCAGTGATTTTGATTGTTTATCCAATTGGAATGATAAATGGACATGCCGTATGGAACATTCCCGGTATGCGATGAACAATAAATAATTTATTCCCGCGACAAATATCGCTTTGACATGGCGTTCATGTTTAATTTGATGTGTGACGTCTGCGACACATAAATTATTTATTATATTTTTATATCTGATGCATGGAATATTTTTTGTTAAAAAACATTGTTGTCGACCGTTCCACATGAGAAATTGTGAGCCATTTTTCCTTGCTTAAGTTATCTGTGAATGTCTTGTATGTATAGCGAGCGGTATAGACTGAAAATATTCATATGTTTTAGTTAAATTTTTATTACGATTAAAATATATATTTCTACACACATCTATCGGCCTACATAGAATTACAAGTTTCAATAGTCTGTAGAAAAATATAGATTGCAATTATAATATTTTTTTTAAAACACATGAAAAAGATAGTCAGTATATCGGCTTCAAAACTGGGTTAAAACGTTTTGATCAATGTTACATTTATTTTTAGCTAAGGAGCTTCAAATCTTAAAGTACTAGCTAGCAAGGTGGGCCGATTTATGTATGTATATGGAAGATTATTTGGCAGTGTAATGCTTGAAATTACAATATAATTTATAACTGCGCAGGTTATGGATGACCATTGGGAGAACGAGGTGACAGAGTACGGAGCGGTGAACATCACAGGGTTTCGTATAGTCGACAACTCGCGTAAGATCGTACGCGATTTCATGGATGGCCTGCGACGCATGGACCCCCGATTCAAGGGCACTATATCGGTGAGAGTTGCATTCATAATATATTATGTTATATTAAAAGATTAAATAACCTATAAAAATGAAAGGAAATTGTGGTGTTTGTTGCATTCTTTTATAACGCCGAGGAAAAGAATGTGGATTACTTTATATACTTTGTTTATATAAAGAAATAAAACCAAGAGCCGGTGCATTGCAAACTGCGCAAAATGCGCGCTCCTATGCGTCCTTATATGGAAGCGCCTACGCTTAGTTATTTATTACGAAGTGACAGGCGTTGGCGCATTGACCTCATATACACAATCATTACACTAATAGATAAAAGTTTGCATGAAATAGCGCTAGCATGAAATATCAATTCCAATAAAACAAACCTACACCAAAAGTTACTATTCCTTAGCTCGATGACAAGGCTTCTCCAAATTAGTCACTAACAAAATGAGAGCTGCGTCCTTATTTAACCAAGAGTTTGGGTAACTTAGTCGGCTGAAAAAAGAACTCCATCCTTTTGTAATCGATATTCCACTCACACGATTGAAATGGTTTTCGTCGTCTTTCCTACGAGAACGGAATTCGGAGAGGTGAATTTTAAGTCCATATAAATAGAAGAGAAAAAGTGTTTTATGTAATATTTATTACACTTATTATATTGTTTGAACGTTTAATTCAAATAAGACGTGCAGTATATTTTATCTCAGACATTTTGTCATAAACAAGCATAGATATCATTCCTCCTTGACGTGGTTAGAATATTAATTACATGCTAGACACAATCTCACTCTAGGCGGTTAGTGCACTGATATAATTGGTCCAATTAATATACAAACATCAGATATAGACAATTAATAACGGTACATTGTACTGCTTGTAATACATTATTAACTGATAACTTTTAGAGAAATTTTCGTAAAGAAAAAGTATGGTTCGTGCCATACTAATGTACCGCAAAAACTAGGCATTTAAGCAAAGAGAAAGTAGAAAAACATTTTTGAAAGACCATTTCCATTGAATTATCGCGGTAAGGGGATTTAAAGCGTGAATGGAGTCCAGTAGCGAAGGTAAGCCGATACGGCAGAAATATGTGCCGCCAAAAGCACCCTTGCCTCGGTGTTCTGAACCTTAAACCCCGAGTAACCCCTGCCAATCTTACTAGCCAAACGAGACGAGTAAATATTATTAAAACTACCGTGTTCTGAGACCTCAAGCATTTTTAAGCCATTTTTTCTATGTCCAATATTTTTGCATATCTACAACATTCAAACATAAACGCGACCAAATTTCGATTAGCTTATTCTTCTTCTTTGGCACATTCAATATAAGAAAGCGTAGCACTGTTTTAATGTATGTGAAATATAATTAATGGATTAACGTTCACTTTTGTCACCTCAAGACGAGGGCATGACTCACGATTTAGAAATTCATTTAATAGCATAACTTTCTCCCCGAAAAACAGAAAATTTTTATGAAATCTACCGACACTTTGTATAATTTTAATAGGGCAGTGTTGAAAAAATAATTAAATCTACTTTGGTAATATGGACTTAAAGAGCATTGGTAGGATAGAAGAATTTAATATATAAAAAATAGTGTATGCATAATCAGGTACTCGAAAACAGAATAAACAAACCCTTCCCTTCAATTCCCTTTAAACATCTTTAAGCTGTATTTTTGTACTCATTGTTTTGTCTATACATTTACTTCAAGAAATACTAAGAAAACAAATTTACCGTATCATAAAGTTCTAGCAAATTATTTCTTTAATGTGTGTCTAAGATAAGTTTAGTATTGTATTGATGAAGCACATTTTCTAAGTCGTAAAAGAAATATTACATAATCCGCGTATAACTCATTGGAATTTGTGTCAGACGTAAAGTATTCGAGAAAGTTCGAGTGTAAAGTAATAACGGTTTTATGTAAATTTCACTAACTCGCGCACGCCCTAATGAAACTCTGAGCGCCGTACCCCTGCATAAATTATTATTCCATATGATCTCCCTTCTCTGAGTAAATACACTTAGGCTTTTTCACTTCTGTTGCGCATACTCAAGGGAATTGTTTCCGAGTAAAGTTAACTCATGACAATTTGCTAACGTGAATGCCGACAGCCTGACGAATGGCGCGTATCTGTTATATCGTGGATTTATTGTAGACAATGCGAAAAACATTCTGGAACACTTTCCAACATTTAATTTTATTAATTATTTGTGCTTTCGAAACGTATTTTGATGGTCGGCAGGAAGTGTGATGAAAACCTTTTTTGTTTTTGTTATCAATACTAAAGGAATTTTTATTTTAAATTTAGATACCGTAACACTCTAATATCATTTTCATAAATTTCAAGTAGGTATACAAATAACGGCTGCATCTGCAGACGTTATGCACCCACCAATCCGCACTGGGCCCTCGTGGTGGGTCATGGCCCAATCTCCCTATTCCATCCATAGAGAAGGCCTGTGCCCCAGCAGTGGGGACATTAATAGGCCGATGATGATGATGATGAGGTATACAAAACATGGAAAATTTAACTCTTTGATCTCGCAACTTTATTTTATACGAAATAATAATGCTATGTGGTGTATTTTTACTAGATACATAGAAAACTACAGTCTAACAAATTCCCAATCAATACCTACCAAAAAGCACCGATATGATGATAAAACCGAGTGCACTTCATATTTTCGTTCGTAAGAGTGGTTTTACAAAACTTTCGACCCGTGTTTTAACAGGCCCAAACAGCTCTAATGTATGACGGCGTGCAAGTGCTAATGGACGCTCTGGGCAGGCTGTGGCGGAAAAAGCCCGACGCATTTCGGAGCGCTTTACGTCGGGCCGCCGGTCAAGCGAACTCTACTAAAGTCATCGATTGCAACCCGGGAAAGAGCTGGGTGGTGCCATTCGAGCACGGAGATAAGATCTCGAGACTTATTAAGAAGGTGAGAGCTTTTTTTTTCTGTAAGTATTCTGAAGGCCATTGCTTCACGCTGGTAAAGACGTTACATGTTAGGAACATTATTACCCAGAGTGAAACTTTTTAAAAGTTAAAGAAACTTTTATGACATCGTCACAATTTTTTACGTTCGTCTTTACATGTTGCATTACATTGTTGTTTTTTATTAACTAAATCAGACTTTATCAATAACTATCTGTGGTTCAGTGGTAGAAAGAAGTTAGAAGTTCCCCGGGTTAGAATACCACCCGAGGAAAATCTTTTAATATTAAAAATTTTGAAAGTTATTTGTTAATTTGTGCAAACATAGGTAAACTATATTCCCTAGGTAAGATGAATGTAAAACTCTTATAACACTGTTTCAATAGTTAAACATTTCAACTCAAACAATTTTAAATGAAACTTGTTTCTCTACAGCTAATGTTAATACTTCAAAATAGATTAGGTAACGGTAACAATTCCATGTTAATATTGGAGATATCTTCAACACAAAGCACTGTTACTCCTGTTGTGGTTTTCCCGTAGTTCCGGTGATCCGGTTAGCGCGGAGCGTTGGAACAGTCATTACACACAAGATGGTGTTACAGCTTGCCTGTAATACTGACCGCAGAACCAATACGCCAAGACGTCATTATGTATATACACTTGCAAATGTATTTATGCTATCTGCAATACCGTTTGCAATATTATATCGTAATTTTTTTAATTCACAATAGCGTAAGCGAAGTTTCTTGTGACTGTCGATTCCGTTTTAGAACGAATATATTTCAGGCTTTTATTTATTTTTATTTATTTATTATATTCAGATAGATTTAACTTGGGACGACTGGTACTACGTTAGCATTTTTAAGTCATCGCAGTAATATATAGAACATTTCACTAATACTAAAAAGTAATTTCTTTGAATAAAATTAGATTTCATTGTTAGCTCTAAAGTGTTCTTGAAAATTTCCATCTATTTTGCTTAAGCAGATTACATGTGAAGGACTTACGACTGATTTAACCAAAATTATATTACAATAAATGATGCCAGCAAATCATTTCTTAAAAACATTTTAGCTGGAAGTCTCACGAGCCACGCCAAAACGAGTCGGATCCTTGGATTTGGGGACACAAATGGCTTGTCTAATTTTCGAATTTTTAACTCTTTGAGAAAACGAGAAAGGTGATACTGAAACACAAATTATAACGGCTTATTCTTTCGTCTCCGCATAAATATCATCTGAATATTCTGGGAAATGAATAAATGATTTTGTCCTGTTCCTAATCAAATTTGGCTGTATATGAATTACAATTGCTTCAATTGCTTCGTTATTAGTCGTTTCCCAATCGTAACTGCGACTTTTTATGTTTAATCTCCCGCTTTTGTTTAACAATAATGAGGTGTTTATCTTATTTGAATGTTATCAAAAACTAGATACATTTTCTCTATTAAAAGTAAGTGGAGTCTTTTGCACAAATATTTCTTTCTTTCCCTCTTTTGTTTATGGCTACTCTGTGAGAAAGGGGCATTACCATTAAAATTGTGTATAAGATGTAAAAAGTTTCCATACACATCAAGACTCGTATCGTTTAACTAAATTACTATTTATAGTGCTCGATGTTCATTTTGCGATTTACTCAATGATTATTAAAGATTATGTTATACCGCTGTTGTTACCGAGAGTGTATGAACTTCACATGCCAAAGACATGTAGTCCTCTACAGCTATTTTATTTCTTCGCATCACCGTTCTCAATACTGGTCGTCATTTTTTTTAAATTGTCCAATTATGTATGTCAATCTAAGCTGTATAACGATAGAATTGAAACAGATGGCCAGACTTCGTGCAGTTTCGCCAAATAACTAAAATTATACTAGCTGAAGCACATACGTCATCTACTACTACAGTAAATAAAATATCTTATGGGTAAAAACTTGGCCAGCCATAGATTCTGATAGTAAATATTGACACGATAAGGAAATAGTTAGCCCATGCCTGCTCAAGAGTCAAGAGGCATGGCACTGACGCATTGGTGTTTGGCTACAGCAAGGGTGACTCTGATAAAGTTCATGCTTAAACTAAAAACAGAAGCTCCCTGGTCGTATGTAAAATAAAAGAATTTAAGTTAGAATTAGGGAGATAAGAAAATATTCAGTTTTAAAATGATAATTTTCGGTTTTAAGTTACGAAACTCCTGGTTATTCATTTCAGTGTAATTATCAAAAATTTTGTATATTAATTTGGCTGTTTAAAAGCATTGATGTAACAAAACACAAACTAGACAAATTAGCTATCTAGTCATTTTGCGACCTAGTCATTGTGAGATGTGGTCAAAAAAAGATGTAGTCATTTTATGATCTAGTAATTATTAGATGTGGTCAAATAAAGATCTAGTCATTTTGCGATTTTAGGCATTATGCGATGTAGTCAATTAAAGATCTAGACGAAATGAGATGTAGGTAGTCATTAATGGGGGTTAGTTACACTGCGCCCTGGACAATCTGAGATCTACCCTATTTTTACAAAGCCAAAACAATGCAGATATATGTATATAGGTATACATAATATATTGTGGTTTATAATATCGCATGACGTCACGTCTTGGTACAATTTTTACTTCGAAGTGACGTCACGAACCCCCATTTCCCCATTATGTTATTCAGTATTTGACTCTTAGTATATTGGTAACATTCTTTTCAGACTGATATTGAAGGGCTCACTGGAAACATATCGTTCAATGAGGAAGGCCACCGCCACAATTTCTCCTTGCAAGTTGTGGAAATGACTGTACAAAGTGCCATGCTCCAAGTAAGTTGAGCCGATTACAGGTAATTTCCTTTTTTTTATTCTAAAAGGTGGGCAAACAAGCGTATAGCCCACGTGATGGTGGCCACTTTAGCCTATAGACGCTTGCGATACCAAAGCTATCGCATACTTTGCCTGCCCTGACCCATTCCCATACCACTTTGAGCCCTGGGACCTTACTTCCCGACAGAAACACAAAACCACCAAAAGATAGTGTTATTTTCTTCTCTGTTTAATGAAAGTCGCATTGCAACACGACAAATTATGCAACACCAACAATAATGTAGGCAGACGGTACGCGCGTACGCGGTACTCATCAACAGCCATTGTCTGTCCTCGGAATTCTTTTACATGCTGAAGTTCGTGGTAAAAGGGTTTGTAGAAAATTCCTAAATTGGCTAGAGCGAGCATGCATGTTGTGTTGCTAATGTTTTCGCGACCAGTTTAAAATGTATGTTGAGGTGGCGCAGGTGGTTAGCGCGTTCGGCTGCGATCGTTGAAATTAAGCAATTTTCGCAGTGTTCGGTCATTGGATGGGTTACCAAAAATCTTCTATCTCGAGTTCCTCTGTGCTTCGGAAGGCACGTTACGCCGTTGGTTCCGGCTGCATCTGCGGTCGTTAGCACCCACCAATCCGCACTGGGCCCACGTGGTGGGTCATGGCCCAATCTCCCCATTCCATCCATAGGGAAGGCCTTCGCCCCAGCAGTAGGGACATTAATAAGCTGATAATGATTGTATGTTGCAATATTACATGGTGTGTTGCAAATAATCTGCAATAGGTTTGATAAAACCTAGAATAAAGTATAGCCACTGGACATAGTTAATTATGGCAACAGTTGGTTGCAAGCGCTCACATAATATTTATCTTGAATACCTTCTCTTTAAGTAAACTTTGCGCATAGTTGCGCTTTCCAGGTTCAGTCAGTGCAAAGGTTAATTTTAACTTTATTCTCCCGCCCGCTCGCTAATGATTTTTCAGCACTCATAAATCAATGTAAACAAACTTTTCCTTTTCTTTCGGTCGCTACCTGATGCGAAAACTTTTAAAACTTACTTTAACTTCAAATCCTTGTTTTTGATGTAGAGGTGGATAGGTTAACATAACATGTAAAAAAGGTTGGGGCTGTGCATAAAGTTTACGTATTTTTTACTCGAAGAATGCTAGTGTATCATTTGTTGTGTAAAGTGACTCATGTTATCGTAACTTTGTTTATTTATTACCTACACATATATGTCAAAAGTATAAAAACAGCAAAAAAAAATTTTAGTGATTAGTACTCAAACACATTAGTCAAATACTTGTTTGAATGTAACAAGTTGCAATGCCAGTTCATTAGCATGCGTATGTAATACAATTCCATAATCCAGATAGTTTGCAAGCAAATACATCGAGTCAGTTTAGATTATATCCATTTCAGATATTCCACACATTACCCAACTTTGTACATTGTTTATGAGATATAGGTAAAGCTGCTTGGCTTTTTTGCACCAAATTTACTTGGAAACTAATTTCTGACTGATAATCTCCCAAATTTCAGATAGAACTCATCTATACATATAATAGAATGGTAGGAAAGTCAAAACTGTACATTGCATATTTTATTTAAAGAATACTTGTGGTGTGATCTACAATCGATACCGAAGCCAAAATATAGTTTTTAGAATTTTTGTCTGTCTGTCTGTATGATTTGATTCAAATTTGACACGAATATTAATAAGAAGTCGGGTCAACATATACGCTTCATATTATCACGCTATCACCTACGGGGAATGAGCAGTGAACCCTTTTGGGTCAAAAAGTATGTGCAATTAACGAACTCCACGCGTACGAAGTCGCGAGCGGCCGCTAGTTTTCTATATGACCATTAATAATTAATAATGGAAAACGAGTTTTATCTGCTTTTTTAGATTAAAAAGCAGTTTCAAAGTCTGTTTAAGCAAAATAATAGCTAAAAAAATCTATTTTGATCTCCTCGATAAAGTCACAAAGGAGACACGCATACTCAATTTGCCCATGGCTGCGTGTCTCTATGGATGTATCCCAGCGTTCGGGACGACAAAATGCTGATAAACTTGAATTTCATGAATTTTAAATACGTGGCACAGGTTGCTACGTGGTCTGATACACAAGGCTTGACCGTTGTACAGCCGAAGTACGTCCAGCTACGCTCACCAGCTTCGTACGACACGAACAAAACTTACATAGTGACGAGTATCCTGCAAGAGCCATATTTAATGCAAAAATCTGAGCACACACACGCCGACGAGAAGTTCCATGGCTTCGTCAAAGACTTGACGGATATCATTGCGAAGAAAATGGGAATCAAATGTAAGTACAAAATGGTAATAATTGACGACTACCTTATCTAAATGTGTAAAATAGATTGAGAAAATTAAATATTTTTTGTAGCCCGTATAATTAACTAATGAAATAATTTCTCAGATGAACTACGTCTTGTGAGGGACGGTAAGTATGGAAGTGAGAGTCCGAGTGGCTGGTCGGGGCTCATCGGGGAAATTGTTCGAAAGGTAAGTGATGATTTTTACTTCAGAACCTCTTTTAGGCGCCTACCTTACCGGGTCGGTGCGGTATCGTTTCTTTTTGTTTGCGGGAGTGTCGGGACGGGTGAGTCGAATGGTTCTGTAGGTAGTACTCGGTACAGAGAGCTGTGTATCCGCTCGGTAAAGTATCTGTACCGAAACTACTCAGTGATGAAGCTTTCATTTAATAACATGCACTCGATAAATAATATCTTATAGCCATTGTAAAAGTAGTTTAACTTCTTGAATCAAACTCTCTACCAGATACACTATAGACCTCTTCCAGTTGTAGTTCGAAAGACATAGTGACAAATAATAACTGAAACTACTGATTACTCGAAAAATCTTCAACCATCGGCGCGGTAATCTCGACAGCCGACACATAATACTATTTTTTTTAACGCTCCCATTTAAACTGAGGACGAAATGAAAACACGCTGTAAACCTTTTTTTTGTTTTTGAAGAAAAGCTTGCATCTAATGTTATCGCGATACAGTAAATTTTATCTGCCATAAATTAAACGGGTTCTCTCAGATTGAGCCTTTAGCGCGGATTTTCGCATTATAATAAACGGGCCAAGGAGCTAAGAGGCTCTGCGGGGCCGGGGTATGTTTAATAGTCCGTAGCAAGAATGGGGATTATCTTAACCGAACTGTATAACGGAATAAATTGGAATATTAATATAATACATTTTATAGGTGTGTATTTTCATATTAGTTTAACAGCCAGTTGTATGCGTAAGGACACGTGGGTGGAATTTCTATAATGCTATTATGCATATCAACAGCGATATGTAGTGGCGGGTTATATACGTTTTACTGTCAATAAAACTGATATTTATGAGTTTTGTAGTGCTGTTGTCGTTAAGTTCAGGGAGTGCTGGTTTGCGGGGTAATACTTATGAATTTCTGGCATTTCCTATTATGGTCCTGACTCTACGATATTACTCGACAGATTTACTCTAAGGCGAGCATGAATAAACGCGTCGTGTCCATTTTTTTTAATGACTGGAATTCTCCTTTCACTAGGAGAAGTAAAGCGGAGTAACTCGGGACTCCTCCCCACACCCTTAACCCAGCCATATGGCTCGATGAAACCTTATCGGTAGAAACCAGTCAATACTCTAGCACCTTTCGGCCGTCATGCATTCCGAGGACCGCGGTCCCTGACCTGAATGTCCATAGGGCGGGCCGAACATGGTACACCTACGTGGGATAATCGACGCGCCCGCCGGTGATTGTCCTTATCCGGACCCTACGCGATGTGCGGTTCCCCGGAGTATAAGCGGCACCCACTCATCCCAGGAGCTCGTGCAATGCCATCTGGCGCTCCCACACCAGATCTCTGGCTCCCGGTGGAGCTGGAAGGAGAGCGTAGTTCTTCTCCCCTTGCCATTAGTATCGGAGCGGTAGCTCCCCTCCCCCGGGCATCCCGGGCATCCCGCACCCCCCCTTCACCTCTTCCAGGAGACACGAGGGGAACCGCAGATACCAGGGGGCGGTTATGAAGTTTCCAAGCCACCGAGGTCATTCAGACATCTCCCAATAGCGAGATGACGAACGAGAGCGAGCTTTCGTCGCGTCATACGGACGAGCCTTCGATTTGTGAGTTATGCGGTCCACACGTTCATTTTTACTCGAATTAGAGTAAAACTATGGAGTCATACCGTACATACCATTAAATTTGATATCAAGTTGATTATGAAAAAACACTTAAATATACGTAAGGACTAGAAGCAAATATAGAGAATCTTGCAAAAATTAAAAATACATGGATAATCCGTTTAAACTTCATCAGCGTCCGTTCCGGTTCCGATTTTAGCCAAAACTTTTTAAGACAACTGAGAATGAGGGTCACGTTCAAATTTTATTATCAGAAATGTTTCACATTTTCTTTCAAATGGGTACTAAAAGTTATCTTGAATACAGGTTTTAATAAAACCTAAATATATTATTGTTGTATAACAAAAATTGGTGTTATATATACAAGAACAATGAATAAGAAAGTCAATTAAAAATTCATTTTCTAGCGTATCTTAATTAAACAGTACATTATAATTTCGGGTTGTTGCCTTAAAAACAAATGAACTCCGGACAATGACACTAATTATTCAGACGTACAATAGGCAGAGACTGTGGTATTGGAATAAATTAAAGGATTATACATTATTAATTGTGTAAACAACCATGACTCGGAAGCAAACATTCGGGCTAATCACATAAACAAACAAATGAGCTTACTGTAATTAGCTAAAAGTTTATTGAAACAACAATCGTTAAAAACGGTTATCGGGAAAGCTGCGTTTTATTAGAGAGGCGCTGTCATTGGTCAGAGTAACTGCAACAATACAATTTGACTAATGACAGAGAAGCTTAGCTGTCGTCAGTATAAACTGATGCTCGGGAGCAATAATATTCGGGCTTATCACAAAAACAAAGATATGAGCATACTTTATTGTGTTATTGTTAATATTAACAACCTAGAGAGGTTATTAATTTATCAGACAATTGCTTAAAAAATATTAGAGTGCAAAACTGCGTTATATGAGACAAGGGCTATCATTAGCTGATCTAACTGCATACAATTTGACCAATGACGAAAGCATGAAATTGAAGTTTGACAGAAGGACGGCTCCCGCCATCCTAGAAATTTATTAATTAGGTAATAAATAAACTAATTACACAGAATCCATTTTGCATTCAGATAATCTATTTTGCGGTATGAATTGTAATCTGGGGTGATAGAGCTACAGATAGAAATAACGCATTCATAGCACAAAAAAGTTTATCAGGGCTATTAACAGGGTTGTGCCTGTCGTATCGTGTCAACAGAAAAAAGTGTATCAAGGCTATTAACGGGGTTGCGCCTGTCGTATCGTGTACACAGTTGTTTACGGGCCTTAGTTTATTAACAGTTATTTATCAAGAAGGGTGATAAGCAGGTATTATAGATTAAAAAAGACCACGGAATACTATGTTCTGTGAAGGAGACCCTCTCAGACTTGCTTTAAATCATGTTGTAAAATCGGTCAAGTATATTAAAAGTTGTCTCTGCATATATCATATTCATTATACTAGACCTAAAGTAATAAAAAGGCTCAATAAAATAAAAATATCGGTCGTTGTTCTTGAAAAAAAAATATATTCATGACTTTGTGAAAATGCGTTTTCTTATCAATAAATATTGTGTTTCAGTATCTTTTTTTACACCACGATCCTAAACAAATAAAGTTATTATTAAACTTACTGCTATTAATTCTCTCAATACAAGTAGCTTATCGCTAATAAATTCTTCTTTAAATTGTTTAAGAATCCTGTAAACGTAACATCAATATGTGCTTGACGGAAATTACCCTTTGTTCTGATCCAACTCTGTTTGCTCATTATGTTTACGTTCCTTCATACTTTAATACAAGTAGTCTGAGTGCAGAAGGCTGAGTCCAGAAGGCAGGATTGCTGCCTTCAAGCGGCCGCCGTTATGAACAGAAATGGTCATGGCTCACCGCACAGTTTTATAATCTACGAGATTTTCAATCGTCCGTGAAATTGTTCGTTTTCCCTTTGTTTAGTTGGTGGCTGTCGATGGATGTTTGGTAATTTATTGCGTCCTCTCTAACATTTTGTTCACATTTGGTTCATTTCCAATTTTTATTTATTTTTATTTTGTGTGTTATGTTATATTATGTTATTGTCCGTGGTACACCATATTTGGTGTTTAGATTTATACAGACGAAGATTGATACCAACGTGCTTTAATCACATAGTCAAACACTTCAAATTAAACGAGTATGAAGCGCGTTAAATGGAATTATTATAATAATATAATTCTTGGCATCTTGGATCATTTTCAGGCTCCGTTGTGAAAATACTGAGCTGGTCATATTTTATTAAACTACCGTAAATATAGTCAGCAGCGCTATTCTGTAAGAAAAAATTAACTTTTCACCTTGGAATCCTCGGTATAACTAAATATTAGAACACGGATTCAAACTAATATTAGGATGCGAAATGTGCATGCGGATTTGGATGAAATACGCTACGCATATAGTTTATAACCTAGATTGAGACATAAGATACTTTTTTATCCCGGAGAAGTGTAAGGTTCCTGAGGGATTTTCAAAAAACTAAAGGACTTAAACTTCAAATCACACAGGCAAATTCCGCGGTGAAAAGTGAGTTTTTTTGTTACAAAACAGCATGGCAATAAATTACCTCTAGTTGATTAAAAACGTATTTGAGAACAAATAATTGTTTTTCTTAGAAGGGGTCTCCCAATCTGGAACTGGGTATTTGTTTTCAACAATTCAACAACAAGATAACCAGATCAGCCTTGTGATAAATCAATCAAAGCCTTTTCGGCTTGTTCAGATATGTCATTAATTAACTAAAAAATATGGACATTAAACGCATTGATGAGCTTCGGAAGCAATGCTAAGCTGCTTCTGTAGTGGTCACCCAAAAATCCGCACTGTGCTCGCGTTATGGGTCATGGCCCAATCTACCTATTCCATTAATAGGGAAGGATTGTACCTTAGCAATGGGGACATTAATAGGCTGATGATGATAAAACTTATTGGTAGTACAGCTTATTAAAAAACGTAAACTAAATAACTTCGACAATCATTGGCACTCTTCCTATTATTGGCACTTTTGAGTTTAGTTCGAAAAAAAACAGAAAACAATAGATTGTAGGAATAATGCTGCCAATTTTCAAATTTCGAAACCATACTAGGTTTTTCTTTTTAATATGTAACGACCTCGAATAATCTATTGTTTCCTAGTTTTTCCGAATTAAACTCAAAAGTGCCAATAATAGGACGAGTGCTAATGATTGGGTGGTTTCCCCTACTATTCTCGCTCTCTGCACGCATACATCTAAATATTTCTTTATATTCCAAGTATGTATGCGAACCGACGATGGAAAAGAAATACATTATGGTAAAACCTTTCAAAGTGTAAATTTGAACTTCGATACATGTTTTCGTGCGAGAAAGTGCCGTAATACTCAATAGCTCATCGCGGTTCAATTTTCGAGGGGACCATTCTTTGAAGGTCCTTGTTTATTGAGTTTGAAGCGTATTATTATAGTTCGCCCACCCTCGGCGTCGGACACTCGTTTACTTTAACTTTCCCAAGAAATTCAACGGTAAATCCAATATCCATTGAAGGTTTGCTCTTAATATTTGTTATTTCCGAACTTTTTACGATTTTCATCAGAGTTATGAAAAGTGGGTGAGTTTAAAGTTCCGTAGTTTTTGTTTTTTTTTTGTACCTACGGCGTAGTCGTATATTACAACACTTATTGACGTGAAAGTCGAAAACTACGACATCGGTTCGTCAAGTTACGGCGGTAGAACTTGTACTGAGAAGAACGGGCAGCTGATAGTCTGCTGCTGATGGGTTTTGTACGCATATCCATGTAATTTAAGTGTACAGTGAGGGTCACGGGCGCCTGTACACTTCAAAAAATCTTTCCTGTGCAAGCGCTAGACGGGTGATTTTACGGGCCCATCCTGATTGGTCGTAGTATTTTAGTATAACCAATTAGCATAGCGCTGCACTGGGTGCATTTATGAATGATTCGTGCGAGAGTAAATATTAGGCACGACGTTGCTCTATTCCGCTACACAGCTACAGCCAGCGGTTTGGCAACATCTCGGGATTTCTGTGATGCGCGTGCGATATCGCGACTAAATAAAGAAATAATAAAACAACAACAATAATCATACGCGTAATTTTACAATTGGTTTATTTTAATATTGAATTCATGAATCTGGTATAGTCATATTTTTAAAGTAAACCTATATATAACCTTTTTACTCTCAAAAAGAATGAGCTTAATAATTATTTCTTTTATTGTTATTATGCTCTTGTAAAAATAGGTACTAGCTTTCCATCAGCGGCTTCGCACGCGCAGTACAAAACTTTGATCCTGCATTTTAACCACTCAGAGTATGAATTAGAATATACTACCATTTTCTAATTTTCTAGGTAGCCTAATTAATTACCAACTCCGATATTAACAACTTTAAAAAAAAAATGTATACACATTTGTCCCCATTTTAAGGGAGTTTCCTAAAATCTTTTTTAGGCAACGACTCCTAATCATTAATTACTTTCGTGTAAAATTTCACCTTCATATTTTAGTAGTTTTCGAGATTTGTCAGTGAATAAATACTCAAGTGGTTTCGGATCTATATACCCATCTAAAGATATATGCGTTAGCATCTAATAGTCAGTGAGATATATTTTGTTAGTTTTTAATACAAGGCGCAGAAAATTTCCCCTCCCCAGCCAGATATTTAAGTGTGAGTGGGGACTAGTGAAGTCTGAAGATAACTGATGCGATAGAAAAGTGTGCCGCTCCAGCCATTCTCACCTTGCTGGCCTGAACCCAATCTCCGTCCCCGTGGAGCCCTAAAACCTTATTCGTTGTTATTTAAAATGTTGTTATTTAACTGTGAGAACAGAAAAAGTAGTTTAATAAATTTGAAAGTTTTATTAATGAAGTTAAAAAGAAAACAAATAGACATGACTTAATAAACATTGATATAATTTCTGTATAAGTAAATGAATTTTTAGAAAGATGTGATGTGTTTGTTGGGTACATCAATATTTTTGTATTTTTGATGAATGTATTCAATATGATTTTCCTGTTTATACAGTAGTATTTTTATTGTTTCATATATTTTATATACATATTGTGTATTACAATATTATTCTTCAGATTTTCTTTTAACCTTTTATATTCTATACAATAATGTTTTCTTTTTGTAATGTTAAGTTTGACAACAGTATATATTATTACTTGCTTAGTATTTTTAAAATTGATAAATCGTCAACAAAAGGTACAAAAAAAATTTTCTTTTTTTTTTCTTTTTTTACTGGGGAGGTGTAGTGTGTGTACTAGCTATATGCACACACTCTCATCTCTCCTAATATATATAGCGTGTAATACCAATAAAGGCTCTCTTTAATCGCAGTCAGTTGCTTTAATTCAACGCCTCGAACCGCCAACACTGCAGCTTGATTTTACCACAACTTCACGCCGCTTAGTGTGTACAAAGTTAAGTTAGCTAGTTCTCGGCATCATAACTCAACTCACTTGAAATTCATAAAATACCAGCGTATATCAATTTGATTGTTTTCTGCTGTAAAATTTCTTTTGATCGAACAAAAAGTATGTAAATTGAATTAATTATCCATTTTTACATAATACGGCAAAGTTTTATTTTCATATCGAAAGTATATTTACTTTGTACATGAAATGAATTAAGTTACTTATCCGCTTCACATATTTTAGGAGGCGCATATTGCGGTGGCACCTTTAGCTATCACGCCGGAGCGGGAAAAAGTTGTTGACTTTAGTGAGCCATTCTTGTCTATCGATGCCCCGATGCCAAATAAAAGAGTACCTAAACAACTCTCTGATACATTCAGCTTCTTAAAACCTCTATCGAAGGAGATATGGGTATGTTTATATTGTAAGTGAATCATGTTTTTAGTTTAGGAGCGTTTGCAGCAGAATAATTGAAATTTTCCTTTTTCACAGCTGTGTGTTCTGTTCAGCTTCTTTGCTGTTAGCATCGTACTATTTCTGGTGTCTAGATTCTCACCTCACGAATGGCGTTCTGTGACCATATCCGACACGCAACTAGACCGGCCTATAAGCAGCACTAACGAGGTAATGCACAAGACTATAACTGCCATATTTTCAGTGAACAAGTCTCACAACAAGCGTGTTGTTTCAGATAATACTGCACAACGACTTTAGCATTTGGAACTCATTTTGGTTTTCGCTCGGATCGTTTATGCAGCAAGGCAGTGATGTCGTTCCTAGGTGAGAGTACTCGAATCACAAAACAATACTTAAGAGTAATGTCTATAGAGTCCCATTTGTCCTGATAAATACGCGTGGAGTGAATGCGCACTTTATTAAATTCCATGATGTACATTTAATCGCGCTTGGCGTATTATACGTGTACAAGCGTATAAGCAGAGATGAAGACCAAGTGAACGAGGGAGACACGCTAATCACCTTGTTATGTCTACCGATGCGAGACGCTGTTCGTAATAAAATTACGTACATTCTCTCCCCCGCGAGAAACAATGACAAAGACATAACCGCATTTCACTAAAAGAAAGAAAGCGAATACGTCCTTTCCCTTTTTTTGGTATATTTTTTTTGAAAGGATACGGAGTTTTATTATGCTTGTGGTTTATCTCCAATTGAGCGTAAGTGTACGACGAAAATTGTTTTACGAGTACTTGCAAATTGATTTTGGTAATGTTTTGTACCTACTGAAGTTCGAATAAGCTTATAGATTTTTATTTATCAACATTGCGTTTCTTTTTCTAGAGTCAAATACTGATCTTATTTTTTGTAGCTCTATTACTACAGCATGCTTTAATTAATGTTTGTTTTGACTTCAGATCCCTTTTATTGATAAAGCCATGTTAAACATCATTCATTGTACAAATAACGTTTCCAAATATTTGAATCTTACTTAGTTGTATGATGTTTCAAAACACTTCAATTACATACAGTATTTCCAAAGGTGATTATTGATTTTATGCTTTTTTCGCGAACAGATCTTTGTCGGGAAGAATTGTGGGCACGGTGTGGTGGTTTTTCGCACTCATTCTGGTGTGTTCTTACACGGCCAACTTGGCGGCTTATTTGATCGTTGAGAGAATCTCGGAGCCCACCCAGCCACTGAATCCACCGGGCGGTGCACAATATGAAGTAAGAGACAATGACCTTTTACTTCATACAGGTAACAATAGATCGTTTACGAAGAGCTTATAAGCCGAAGCGAGTGTAGTTTATCAAATTGTGTACCATTATGCACTGGAGTTTCTCTTAAAGCATAATAATTTTGTGCCAGCGAGGAATATACAGCGCTAAACCTACTTGTACAGTTTACGTACCCGCAAGGTTGTACGCACGTACTAACGTATTGAAAATTAAATGTGATAACTATTAAACTATAACTTATCATATATTAATAGCATATAGTGTAACTTAACATATTTTGGAATGTCATTAAGAATGAAAATTTAAGGGTTAATTTTACTCCATCTTCATGAAGTCGCAGATTCAGATAGTAATCTGCCATATAGCAATGACTTAAGATTAAAGGGTGTAGTTTGTATAGATAGATTAAACGTTCCGAATAGACTATCAGGGACTTTATATACCTACCTCTAAGTGGTGAAATGTACTCTAAATAAAGACAGACATACGGAGGACAAAGTGATCATATAAGGTCCCGCGTCTGTACCCACCACCGCCAGAGCGCGTATGGACGCGCACGCCGAACTATTTCAATTGTTTTGAATATTTTTACAAGCGAAAAGGATCATAACCAAGCTTCTTTATAATAGGGGTGATGATGGGGTACCGTAAATGAAATTCTATTTAGTCCGTCAGTCAGATGAACAAAAAATAATGGACACGTATTTTTCTTTGGGCAATCAACCAAAAAATCAAAAAGTTAAGCTCGTCACAGTTTGGGAGTAGGGGCTCGTGACGTCACTTTTAAGTGAAAATTGTACCAAAACGTGACGTCATGCGGCTTTTCGAATCAATATATCTCTGCAATGTTAATATTATGTAAAAAAAAAGAGAAAATTCGTGTCCAATACTTTTTGATAATCTACCTGATAAATGAAGAAAAAAAAATAATCATCCCTATTGATACAGAAATGTTTTTTCGGAAAGAGAATACTCTGAACCCTTAAGGGATCACCTTGCTGTCCGACTGTCCGCCTGGGCGTCTCTCTGAACTCGGGAACGCGTGGAGGTATCGTGTTAAAATATGAACTATATATTCGATTCTACGGTTCCTTCAAGTTGTTAAAAATTTGTCTGAAACCCTCGGTGGGCGAGTCCGGCTCGCTAAATATCTGGTTTATTTTAAGGTTTTGTTTGTTTAAATTTAATGCTGTCAATTTCTATTCGATAATTCATATCGAAAAATTTACTATGGAATACCTAGATTAAGTTAATACGTAACTTTAAAAACATTAATTTTAATCGACGTCGTTAAAAATAAAATAAATATTTATCGTAAATATTTTTTTAAGGGATTTGTATAAAAAGAACTGTTTTACAAAATTCAATTCTTTAAAATGCCTATTATTTATTAGAATCGATTAAACTTTCTTAATCACTTTGCAGAATTTACCGTTATCTTGGAGCCACTTAGTAAAGGAATCTATGCTAATTGGAGATGATGAGATCACAAACGAGTACCATGGTAGCGGCAAGTATCGTATCTCCTGTGATTCAGCGACGCGAGTTTGTCATTACAAGCATTTCAATTTCGCTATTGCGACAGCTAAAGGATCACCGCTGAGGTAATATTTAGTTTTGTTCACTTTTCTTCTTACGACTTTGTTTATAGTCAAATCGATCATTTTTGGATTGAGAATACTAGAGGGAGTGTGGCGGCGACATATACACGCCCAATATATATCTAACGAAGCAAGACTTGACACTCCTTAACCATAGATTGATAGAGGAGCTCGATGACCCGGGTGGTTCGCGCGTTCGTTGGCGATCGTTGAAGTTAAGCAAATTTCGCAGAGGTCGATCATTGGATGGGTGAATCTTCTGTCTCGAGTTCCTCCGTGCTTCGAAAGGCACGTTAATCCGTTAGTCCCGGCTGCATCTGGAGTCGGTAGCACCCGCCAATCCGCGCATGGTGGGTCATGGCCCAATGTCCCTATTCCATCCATAGGGAAGGCTTGTGCCCCAGCAGTGAGGACATTAATAGGCTGATGATGATGATGGTGATGAAAATTTCGCTTGATTTTAATATGACTTAAATCTAGATATTTATTAATATATTCAAATTAAACGAAGGTTATTCAACATGCAGTCGCACTGCATGTTGAATAACCTTCGAATAACCTTAGCACTGGGGAGACTTCTCCAGTGCGAAGGTTCAAGCAGCGCAGCTTGTTCAGAGGCAGTTAGTCAGTACCCGCTTTGACCGCCCAACCGAGCAATATTTAATAGAGAACAGCTGATGTCAATTCTAGTAATCCTTTGAAAAGAGAATAAGTCCGTCACCATTTCCAAGCGATTCAATTTTTAGTGTCTTTACTGGCTGTTATGTAAACCCTACAGCTCACAACACATTTATATATTTTTCCCAATTTTGATCTAAGTTCTGATAATGAATTAGGTTCATTTATGTGAGTATTCGATATAAGAAGTAAGAATGCTCTGGGTATGACAGAAAATTTCTTTTAGTTTATTAGCAATCGCTAGCAATATCTGATCCATAATGCGTGCGTAACAATACATATATTTTCTTCTACTCTAAATGCTTCTAAAGAAAACGAGGTTACTGGTATTCCATTAGTAATAATATAAACTTGAGCCGATCTCACTTAGCTTTTCCAACTTTTTTCAACTTTTCGTAGTAAAAGCTTATAGCGAATTATTTTTTCCATTTTTAATACTTACATACCTAAATGCTTATCAAATACTTTCGTTCCGAGAAAACGAAATTGAGATATAAAGCAAAATACAAGAAGAGGGTTACTAGATTATTACTTTCAACTTTAACTTATAAAGTGTAAAAAGTTTTAAGTATAAAGTTGCTACAGCTCTCAGAAAAGAGTTAGGAAAATTCCTTATTTCTCATCTCATACCAGCCGGCTTACAAGTGTGTTATTGCAATAAATAAAACTAGTTTTAACGGTTTAATGCACGAAACTTTATTTATTTATTGACGATTCGCAGCCTTTTCAGGTCTGCTTCGTCAGAATGATTTTTTATCTAATTTTTTTTTTTAATATGGGTCATAGCCCAATGTCCCTATTCCATCCATAGGGAAGGCCCCAGCAGTGGGGTTAAATATTATTTATTTTTTAAATAAAAAATCATTTTGACGAAGCAGACCTGAAAAGGCTGCGAAACGTAAATAAATAAACAAAGTTTCGTGTATTAACCCGTTAAAACTAGTTTTATTTAAAGAGTGATGTGCGTGAAAACCTGAGAAACAAAAATGTGTTATTGCGATGTTAAAGGATAACACAATACATAGTCTAAAACCAGCGAAGAAAATAGACCACCCGAGGTAAATTAACCAAACGGAAAAAACCCGCTGGTCAGTATGAGGCCATTCCTAGAGCCACAAGGTAAAAATAAAGTCCAGTCCGCAATACATACATAGTCGTATATCGAAGGATGAGCACCGACACCAACGTAAATTTCCACTATAGAGCTCCCACTATCTAGCTGAAATCTCGCCTCCGCACGGTAATTCCCCGTTGAATACTGAAAAGTCGTAAATTTACATGGGCCCCTTCAGTGGGAAAGTTGGCTCTCTTTGCATTTCGAATTTACATCACCCCATTTTTATGGTATGTAGGTAGGTAGGTAGGTACTCGAATGTACCTATTATACTCATATATACACGAAACGTGATTTTTGACAACATGTTAAAAATTTACATTTTATACGGACGCGGTTTATGACGGCAATGTGAAAGAGTTTATTGGACACCTATGATACTCCAGGGATCGAAATTATTGGTACCTATAGATATTGAAGTCGGACGGGGTTGGAGTTCTAGAACTTTCAACCCAACGGAATGTTATAATGAACACGTTTGAATAACTTCTTATCCTAGTAATATTTTATATTAGTAATTTTCATAACCTGTCTATTATAAATAGCGATAACGAATTGTCATCATGTTTCATTAATGATTTGACCCGTATCACAAACTTAAGGAGTAGAATACGAAACTCTCTTAATAACAATAATTTATTTAAAGTGCTGCTTGTTATTATCATAAATAGTTATAGCTTAATAGAATATTTTTATGAAATCATCATCATTTATTCGTTGTCATCGGTAACAATAAGTTGTTAAATTTTATATGAATGTGCCTCCATGACATGCTTAACAGCATATGGTTTATTTTTTATTTTTACTGACATTATTAATATCATATTGAGTACAATAAAATCATAATTATAAAAGAATCAATACATTATTGTATCAAATCTATAATAAAAATAAAATCTATATAGGTATCAGTAAGTAAAAAATTAACAACATTTTTCCACTAAAAAAATTGACAGTATCCTTTTTAATGTTTTTATATTATAATATTTTATGGTGTCAGATAGATTATTATATACCTTAGGAGCCATTTCTACAACTTTTTTTTTCATAAGAGTTGTTTTACACATGTATATACAAATTAGTGGTTTTCGAGTTCGAAGACTGAGCATATGAGTCTGTTCTCTTACTTTAAAAAGATCTGGATTACTTTTAATGAAAACGTAGCACTCAAATATAAACATGGCAATGTCCAAAGCTTTAGGGATCTAAAATATGGTATACAGCTATCTTAGGGCTTCAATCCAAAAATTGCTCTCACACATTGTTTTTGAGCTCTTAACAGTATTTCTCCACTAGCTGTGCTGGGATATTTCCCGCAGTAAAACCTCGCCTATGTGTTAATCCAGGGTGTCAGCTAACTCCATACCAAATTTTATTAAAATCGCTTTAGCCGTTAAGACGTGAAGAAGTAACAAATATACACACACACTCTCACAAACTTTCGCCTTTATAATATTAGTGTGATAAGTTGTAAGTCCCCAGAATATCATGTTAGTTCTTTTTTCAATTTCCATTTTCATTTATTTACTAGAAACATTTTTGTTTTCAGAGAGGGCATAAACTTGGCTATAGTAAATTTAAAGAAGGACGGTGTTGTCGCTAAATTGTGGCGCAAATGGATATTGAACACGAAGCAACCGGATTGCGATTTAGTTAAAGATGAAGTGAGTATACTTTTTTTTTAAACGAGTATTTTATTTCCTTTGTTTATTTTAAAGATTTATTTTTACTTACTCAAGTTTCTTCGTGAAATAAACAGCTGTAAGTAGAGTCTTTTGGTGAAACACGCCCGTCTTCAAGTTTCGATGTAGCGATCCTCTCTCGTTTTACTTCAGTGTGGTAGTTTGTTATATATTGGTTTTCGTAGTATATTTTAGTTGTGATAGTTTAAAACTGAAGTATTTTTTGCTCTTGAATAACTCGATCTATTACTGAAAAGTGCAATTAAATTCGTAGCATAGTTTAAAGATCGAATTATAAAATACAATGATAGTCGGAACATAGTTTTGAAAAATCTTTTCAAGGAAACAATAAAATAGAAAGAAATTCTGAAAAGAATTTGTTATAAAAACTATTAAGAAATAATGTTAGTCTAGGAAATGAAGCGTTTTGGCTTGCAATTTTTTCGTCCACCATGGATTTACTTGAAATTTTCACTAAAGGTTGGGAACAGCTCAAGGATCATTTTCTATATCAAGCCTATGTACGCTAGAACCTTGGGAGTGGTTGCCGTCCCCATCTCGGGGGTGGATTTTTTTTTATTACATTTTAACTATAGGAATCGACGAAAAAAGTTATCAAGAAAAAAATATTTAAAAGGTAATTTCCAAAAACTAATATTTTTTGAGTTATTCAAAGTTGAAAGTAACAGATTTATTAAAAAAGCGCCTTTTTTATTTATTTTTACGGAAGTAACAGCATTAATTTTCACACAAAAAATATAACATTAAGTTTAAACAATTGCATAGGTAATTTCCACTATTATTTATATTATTACATAGTGTCTAATAAACATGAGAGTAAAAAGAAAAAAAAATGACATCATAATGAAAATAAACAAAATAAAAAGAAATAAAAATGTTGTGCCTAAAACCTATAAGTTACAAATTAGTTTTATGAATTTCAAAGAATTAAGATTAAATATATCAATATGACTATATTAAGAGTTGTATGATTTCATAGCTCGCACAATGTAGCGATTACTTGCATAATTAGTCCGACCGGCCGGAATGCAAAACGTATCACGTGCTCGTAGATTTGCTCTTGGATATTTTAGCAAAATTTTACTCAACAGTTTAGGAGAATCGACAAGACCATTTATAACCTTGTGAAGCAAGGTCAAGTCTCTACACTCTCTTCGATGTGCCAGGGATCGCACGTCATCCTCACAAAACATTGATCTTTGTGAGGATTTGTATTTCATCCTTGTAATGATTTTATTCTGTAGTTTTTCTATCGCGCTTGTGTGTGTAAACTATTGCGGATTCCATACCGTTGAAACGTACTCTAGTTGAGATCTTACATAAAAGTAATAGAAGTTCTATGTTTTTAAAATCTTTGCCCTGCCTAAATATGAAACCCAACATTTTATACGCTTTGGCTGTAATTTTATGAAAATGAGACAGACTGAGATTTTTATGAACGGTTTTTTGCGAATAACTCTAAAAATATGCATTTTATCAAAAAAAAAGTGTGAGAGTCACATCGTAGCTTTTAAAAAAACGAAAACTATGCGTTTTTTATAATTTTTCTGTGACAAAATTATGAACTAAGATACAGCAAATTAATGCTTAGCTTTTTTCGTCAAATGCATAAATTGAAAGATTTACAGCGAAATAACGAGAAAAGCTTGCATTATTCGAAGAAAGCTCATAGAATCTTTTTTAAAGTATTTAATTAGAGCTTTCAAACAAATAGAAAACAATGTCTCCAGCATGAAAATTGACCGACTTATGATCAAAGTAAGATCGGTAGCCGCTTTTTTTTCGCAAATAATCTGTGAAAACCACCCCTAAAGTATCTCCTAATTAAAATTGATCGGCAGCCTTCTGTTATTCTCTTTATATATGTACTATTAATACACCCACGAAGTTTGACCAATTTAAAATTCCAAATTTCAGAAAAAATGGAGTTTAAAGAGAAAACTGTTTTTTTTTCAATATCGTGTTTTTCACCATTTTCTTAAAAATATCTACCAAAATACTAAAGATACGAAAAAAACAATATATTACTAAATTGTAGTTTTTTTAATGGCAAAAATTTACCTGTATGCATATTTTTTGTACAGTGAATATTCGGTAAGATATAGCCGTTTAACACCTACATTTACGATTGAACATCACCTTAAGTATTTAAGCGCTTTAAACTCTCCCCATTCAAAAATTAAGGGATCTTAAGTAATTTAATTCACACAGTTTTAGCTTCTGAAAATCTCTACAAAATCGTTTCTGAAAAAAAAATCTATCACCTAAAATGAAGGAATGCTATGCTTAAAAAAACCGATCAATATTTTTATTCGAAAAGAAAATTCAATATTTTTAAGGGTAGTTTTTAACAAGGGTAGGTTGCAAGATTATGAAATTGTATACTTGAGCGTGAAACAATAATTTTTCAACTATTTTTAGCCATATTTAGGTTTTTAAATTTACTTTATAATTATTGGTAATGAGGGGATAGTTTTCACCATTAAAAAGCAAAAACTTTACAACAGAGGGTAAAATAAGCCTAATCCAAAATTTTTATACAAATCGGTGCTGGACGAAAACCTTGCGAGGTTTTACCATTTTTTATCTTCATTTCCTGGACTATGTAGTAATGATAAAAACTTTTTCTTGTCAATGTCAAAATTATTACCTACATTTAAAAATAAATCGATTAAACGTCACGGTTGCATACCTTTTGACGTATGGCGTATGGCTCTTTAACCATTCGTCGTTTGTTTTAAACACTTGAGAATATAAATTTACTTATTTTGATAAGAATTCATAATTGTTGATAATATGATCCATAAACTTGACATAAAAATCTACATTATGAGACTTAAATATAAAAGTTATACATATGATGTCGTTGACTTTTTTGTAGGATCAGGCTCTACAACTTTTCTCTAGAATTCAATTTTACCGTTAAGACAGCGTTTTTCCTCAGACTTACTTTGCAAATCCGAATACCACGAAAAAGTACTTTCATTTTTCTGGTAATAATATATTACACTCACAAATAACGTGACCTTCTATTGGTGAAATAATTTTTAAAAATGGTTATTTTCTCATGCAACCTCACAGAACAACCGGTAATGAATGTTTTTTTCTTTGTAACTTCTCTCGTTATAATAAATGTATTTTATTGAAATTTTAGAAATCAATTGCACGAATGATTCATTTAATCTGATTTCTGTGAATATTAATATAGTTTTTTATTGCAAATTTTATTAGAAACAAATACAGCACTTAGTAAACGATTCGACGTTATCTCTACAAGTTAACTAAAAATACTTGTAAGTTTATGTTTGAAAAAATTGTACGTTTTATTTTGCTTCGTCGGATAAGTAAATGAAATGGACTGTCGGTTTAGATCAAAGATGTGCATAAAAGCGTGGAGCTTTAATAGAATATTTAGAATAATATATCTTATGTGAAAGCAGTTAAACGGATTGTCGAAAATATTTGGGAAATTAAGTATTAATGTATATGTAGTTTAAAATTAAAGCACGTTTGCTCCATCCAAGCGTAACATAAAACAACATAGCATATTGTAACATGCATGACGAAAATGAAAAGCCAAATTTTGCCCGTTGAAGATCGCACCGAGTAACTAAGTTTTTATAATATGAACAAACTCTTGGTAAATCCGCCCAGTTTTTTTTTTTATTATAGTATTCGTAAGTAAGTATATTGGTATTTATTATTGTGTATGTGTAGGTATTTATCGTAAATATAATTATTATATTACGAAACAACACAACTGGTGGAAAGAGGTCACGATAGCTAATAGACGCTTGCGTTACCATTAATATTACTGGCACCGTTGTCTACTCTGACCCAATCCCCTACTCCGTAGTGCCCTGGACTTACACACCGACAGAAACACAACACACTGATCTTCACTAAGGTAAGGGTTCTTCCCGAGACGGGCGCTCCAATTCTAGTGGAAAATCCGCTATGCCCTACCTATATGCCCTAGCTATGCTCTTATCCTTGTAAATATGATACCATTTCGTTCACGATTATGGATCGCAATGTGTGAAATATTATTGAAGAGAAAGGTTAGACATGGATTGATATGTATCCAAATTGTAATATAACAAACTTCCTACGTGATTCGGATAGTACGTAAAGGATTTGTTGTTAGCATTCACCTATGTTCGAAATAGATTGATTTAGTTTGCGATACGTTTTAGCTTTAAGGTATATGGTATAGACTTTGTTCAACAGACTCACGCTGTTTGATTGCTGAACGATTCAACCTAATGAGGCAATGAAACAGAAAGTTACTTATAATGAGATTAGTTATTTTTTGATCTATTGTACGTGACTGAAAATGCCTAGAACGATTTCAGACCAGCGGTTATTTTTGCACTTATACGGTCGGTTTGGTATACGGGCTTGTTACATCACAGGCGCGCTACATGACGCGCTCCTAAAAATCGGAGTGAAGAACCAGTAGTGGTGTTTCTCGTGGCTCACGCTTAATACGAACTTAAATGCGCGTCAATGATCGTCCGAGTTTCGGGTGTGGCAAAATGTGCGCCTATACGCCAACTTCCAAGAACGAGCTTATACGCGCATATAAAATGCTAGTCTTAAACCGCCCCTAGGATTGGTGCAGCCTAAAGTGACGTGACTCGCTTGTAAACATGTTTTCTAAGTGAAATTACTTTGTTCTGTAAGACGCCATATTTACTGAAGAAAAGTTTCCTTGGCATATTTGGAAAACCGAATTTTATATTTCGTTTTTTTTTACTGATATGCGCAACAGAATTATAAACGTCCACTTTTTATGGAGTCACTTACACTAATAAATAACGTATGAACGTTTTCAAAAACTTGCTAAATAGCCTGATCCTTGTCGGCCACGTACTTAGTAGCAAGAGCTCAGTGGATAATATTATTTGGGTAATACATGCGGTCATATTTAGGCACACACTCCTTGGGCAGTTTTTACACTGAATTATTTGAATATGGTTCTAATGTAACGTGTTGAGTCACACTATAAAAAAATGCTCTTCACGGTTTCAGGAAACATCGATAACGGAGATATCACTGAGCCAAGTCGCGGGGATATTCTACGTGCTGGTTGGCGGTTTGGCGTTAGCGCTCGCGGTGGCTCTTCTCGAATTTTGTCAGCACGGTCGGGCGGAGGCAGCCCGTGCAAACGTACCTTTACGCGCAGCTCTTAGGGCTAAAGCAAGAATGGCTTCGAGGACTGACCGCAAAACACCGATACAACGCACTCCGCAAAGAGACCACGATCGCCTCGGGTGGAACGGTGCGGCTTTCGCTGGTGTAAGTATTAAAATGACTTCGTAGGATTTTTTTACATTATGTGATGTAGATTGCCTTGCCGTAGTTCAGTTAAGTACTAGTAGAGACGAGTGTTGATTTCAAACAAATAAATTATAGTAATTACTTTCACTTTTTCTTTGGTATTAAAAAATATGAGTTTATTTTTTGTAAATGGTTGAGTTCTGAATAATCAGTTTTAAAGTTGCTTCATAATAACTAACATAATACGTTAACCAGATAAAAAAAAATACAACCACTTTCTATCACGTACATAATGCATGATATGAAATATAAAGCAATTTTATTCTCTTTAGTCTAATGACTTTCTTCTTGGGAGAAACGTATTGGGACACTTTCAACGGAAGAATTAATAGAAATAATCAGTAAGTTGGGTTTGAACCTTGTGAATAAAATCTCCATTCATCCATTAACTGTTCCTTCAATGTTGTAAATGTGATTTTGCTCATAATATAATGAAATAATCGCCGAATAGTTTTTTTTACTCTGTTATAAGATCTAACCAGTTCATTGATTAAATAAAAATAAATGGTTTAACCACAAACCACCTACCGCCGGTCCCAGAAACCGCAACGAATTTTAGAATCATCATTTTTCCACACTCGATAAGTAAAAACTTGCGCGCCTTTTCTCTAGCTAAGTAAAAATATTTCGCAAGCGGTCTACGTATCCGCACTTAGGTAATTGTGTGATTTTGTATTACATCAATATTTTATAGGTGTTTTAGTACTAGATGTAATGAAAACTGCAAATTTTAAAAGACCAAAAAAGAATGTGCTTTTACTGCCGAAAATAATAGACATATTTAGGCTTTGTAATTTTTTGTATATTTTTGTAGTTCATTTGATTTTTTTATTTTATTTTATAGATTTATTATTTAAGTTACTGAAAAAATAGAAGAAAGTTGAACATTGAAGTTCCTAATTTAAAAATCTTTTTAGTAGTGTTTGGTTTTGGTACCAAAACTGTTAATTCGTAATAATATACGATTAATATATGTTTTTCTTTTCTTACAAGCCCCTTATGCATAAAACATTATTCTATTTACTTGATTATTTGACTATCGCCATAGATCTTAAACGAGTCATAATCTACCAGGAGTCTCTGAGACCGCACGTAGTGGTTAAAAACAAATTATGGTAGGTAGGTGGTTAAGGGTTAATAAAGTTTTTGTCATAGGTATTCTAAGACTTTTTTCCAAAAAGTCAAAACTATGTTGCTAATAATTTTGCACTATGAGCCCACTAGTTAAATGAATAAATTAAATCGACTGATATGTTGGACTAATGGACAAACTTTTCATAATGCTTCACCTACCTTGGTGTCGAAGCAATGAAATATGTTACTATCATTCCGATATCGAAATACTTGGAAATATTTTTTTCAAATATAAGTATAAGTAACAAATTATTGACATAATTGCAATTGCGAATATAAACATATCTTATTTTAATAATATCTAATTTAAACTATGACTCAATCTAAACGTTCCAATTAATATCGTGATTGATTATTGTTTTCTACATTTTTTTAGACATAATAAGAAATTAGAAATTGTTTAGATAAAACTAATCTAAACAGTTCAGCAAAAATATGCCTTAAGGTGATCGCACGTATTTTAGATTTTTAGCACCGTACGCTCCACATTTCGGAAAGTCTAAATGGAAATACGGCGCGCACGGTGCGAACATATTATATGTAATCACCTTAACGCGTTATACCGATTTCTTTGTTTCCTTTTCCCTCAGCATGTTTGTGAACAGTTGCTGTCTTGTTTAAAAGTGTTCACAACTTTTCTACAATTTAGCATTTAAAATTTATTGTGTCAGCCCCAGTTTCAATATCCACAGGGAAATATCAATGACGTTTAGTTTCAATAAATTATTATTAATTATGTAAAAATACTTTAGCACAACTGGTAATGCCATGCGGTTGGTACATGGGTATTACCCATTGAGAATTTCCCTAGTACCAGGAAAATTTTAAAATTTCAATTTATTGTAAATAAATACTAGCTTTTTTAAATTTTCTAAATGCCACACATCCTTATTCGTAATCTATTAGAATGTTAGTAAATATTTGTAAATCTACTAACAGCTAACGGCAGTTTGGAAAACTCAAATTAATTTAATGATTCATTGAGTCACGTGTTTTCTCATTCTATTTATTGTAATCGCATTTAAATTTACAGCATCAATAATAGTCAAACTTAAATGACTTATTGGCTATATTGACTTATTGGCTTCTTTGAAAAAAATTCCATGGATGAATCACCTGAGTTATTCCCAATTTTTATACGTTTTCCAATATTGATCTTTTTCTGATCCTCATTTAAATATATGGAACACCTGAGTTTTCCCAAGCTTGTGACGTTCTTGCATATTGACATCTTAAACTGATCGCAAATTTGTCAGCATTGTACGTGCCGCAAGCACCGAACGCGCCGCGTTTCATGATTGCCTTCATGAAATGCAGCGCGTATGGTGCGGGTGAAACATGCGAGGTTCCACATGATTGCATACAACGAATTCTAACATGCGGCGCGTACGCTGCTAACAAATACAATTAGATTTTCATTCATGATAAAACGTTAGCACAAATTAATCGTTTGCGATTTCCACTCCACAGTATTTCACCGCCAACACCCAAATATCCCAGGATGATGCGGTCCACGCGAACTTCACTCACGTCTGATCCGCGGAAAAGGGCGGAGGAGTGAACGTGCGCCGCTCCTCCGTCACGAAGCAGCCAACAAACAACGGCGTAGATCTTTATCAACTTTAAGAGGCGCGAGCAATTTGAGTCCTTACTGTTTTGAGTTTAAGGCTTTAATCACACTATATCAACTGCGCCGGTCTTTATCAACTTTAAGACGCGGTTAATATTTGTCTCTATTGTTTTAGGTTTAGGCGTATATCTGAATGCATCTATCTGCATTTACCATAGTGAAAAGAAAAAGGTAAGGCTGGAAGCCGAGATAATATTCAAATAGGCTACTGTGTCAGTTGTCAGTTTGCTGGCTGTCAAGGTAATGACTGATAGTTAACCTGTCGTCTAGTGGAGTGACTGGTGACTTTTCAGTCACCATCCGTTTTCTATCATTCATGACTGATGAAATCGACAAATCGACAGCTGCATGAGCGTCTATTGGACGCCTTAGCTACCTATTTCAACGGTCTCATCGATCGCAATTCATTGTCAGGTTTGGTACACAAAAATAAGGATTTTGCCCTGCGGTCGTTAAAAACCAGACAGAATTCAATAATACAGATTTTATGATAATCCTAGCTACATTAAATTTTCACGTTGCAAGGTGTGTTTTCTTCTTTTTTAATATAATTCTTCTTTTTTATTATTGATATGATTAGATGAATCGCTAAGTATGATAAAAAAAATAAGAATGCCACACGAAATCTCTTTCGGAAATTGTTTAGTCGTACGAACCACTATCGAATTCGATCTCGATACGTGACAAATGTTAAGGTTTTTTAATAGAGGTTTTTATAATTCTCATTACGTCCGTTATGGCTTTGTTAAAATTTCCATACAAAACTTCTTGACATTTGATGCATCTCGATACGCTTTAAGACTTGAATTCAACTAATTATTCGAATTCGATATTTGTTCGTGCTAAGGGTAATGATCACTGAGAAAAATCTCCAGGGTGAAGAACATCTACATGATTACATTATTTAAAGTGATCAATCCTAATATTATAAGTAATAATTTATTTGTAATCGATTTTTTGTGTATTAGTAACTGGAATATCTTTTTAAGCAATTTTAGTATTTCTAGTACTTAAGTAAATTTAATACGTGTACAACAATGCATTACTAAGGTTTACACAAAATAACCAATTGTAACGTTATTGTATAAAAAAATATCGCAAACAGTTATAAATAACATTTTATAATAGTATTATTGTTATTTACATTTTAATAACTTGAATAAATGTAGTACTATTTTTTTTTTGTATTTAGATGGTAAATAAGTTGAGATGATTTTAATAATGATTAAATTAAAACACGATTTTAACTGTATACCTTGATTGGGTGAATTTAGCCTAAGTGCCGGTATTAAAAAATTCCAACTACTTCCAAAGTAACACCAGTAATAAATGAATTTATATTCCAGTGTAAGATAAACATTGTTTTTAGGAGTCCATTATTAAATAAATTTCTTAGTATAACAAATACTGCTTATTTATATCATAAAATAGACTAAATAAATGCATAGTTCTATAATAATCCGCTTTATGACTCGCAACGTAAGGCTTCCGTGATGTATTATAATATAATGGAAGAAAAGCTTAATAAATTAATATTTGTAATATCAAAATTTATCCCAAAACAGATCATTCTTAGATACATGCTAGATTCCTCGATATTTTAATAATTGTGACTAGATAACAGTTTTATATTGGATATTTACATATCACCCATTTGCAGGAAATATCTCACACATTCATCAAAACCAACTTAAACTTAATGGTACATTACTGCAGCGGCCAGCGAAAGAGGCATCGATGGACGAATGTGTACGTAAATCCATCAATGCCTAGTTGTGGCCAATACTTCTTTAGTATTTTTCTCCAGTAATGAGTGGAAATTATTACTTTTTCAAAATCAATGAGGAACAATTTACAACAATCAATTTTCTCTTGTTAAAGTGTTCATTTGTTTATATTTCAATAAACATTTCTTTCTATTTGCAAGCCCGTTCGAAATTTAAATAAAACCTTTGATAAGTTTCCTCCTTAAACCCCCTTTACACCCCTGCCAAAACTATGTCAACATTGGCCAATACGGGAGTGTAGAGCGAATATTGGGCTATATTGGCGTTGTCTCGTGGATGTTGGCATAGTCTCGCCTCAGTGTAGGAAACATCAATGGGTTCTCGGATAGTTTTGTGTATTGGCAAAACTTTCAGGGCAAATAAACTATTTTTTTCATTTTGATAGTTATTTGTTTTTAATTACTTATTTTTTGTTGATCTGTGTAAATAGAGTATTTTAGCGTACGTTTATTTGTGGAGAGCCTGTCTCTTGTACTCTCGTCAAAGCCCCCTTTTGACCAAAAAGTTTGGCCCTCTCGAGAAAGAAGAAAACAAGAAAACACGCTCCACATTTTCGACCCCTCGTCGAAGAAAACACGCTCCACATTCTCGACCCCTCGTCGAAGAAAACACGCTCCACATTTTCGACCCCTCGTCGAAGAAAACACGCTCCACATTCTCGACCCCTCGTCGAAGAAAACACGCTCCACATTCTCGACCCCTCGTCGAAGAAAACACGCTCCACATTTTCGACCCCTCGTCGAAGAAAACACGCTCCACATTCTCGACCCCTCGTCGAAGAAAACACGCTCCACATTTTCGACCCCTCGTCGAAGAAAACACGCTCCACATTCTCGACCCCTCGTCGAAGAAAACACGCTCCACATTCTCGACCCCTCGTCGAAGAAAACACGCTCCACATTCTCGACCCCTCGTCGAAGAAAACACGCTCCACATTTTCGACCCCTCGTCGAAGAAACACGCTCCACATTTTCGATCCCTCGTCGAAAAAAACACGCTCCACATTCTCGACCCCTCGTCGAAGAAAACACGCTCCACATTTTCGACCCCCAGTCGAAGAAAACACGCTTTACATTCTCGACCCCTCGGCGAAGAAAACACGCTCCACATTCTCGATCCCTCGTCGAAGAAAACACGCTCCTCATTCTCGACTCATCGTCGCAGAAAACACGCTCCACATTCTCGACAAGGATTTGGAGCGTGTTTTAGTTCCCAAGCTTTGGAGTAAAAGGTCGTTCCATTTTGAAATAACACAACAGATATGATATTACTATTAAATTTATTTGTCCGCTAAATACGACAGATATGAATTTTCATACAACTTTTGCCGGCCGCTGCTCGCGTGTTTTTGACCAGTACCCCTAGCACGAACCAATACCGATTTCGTATCGTTTGCGAGTCCGAAATGTCATTGTCAAATGTGTACTGATATTTAGTTCTCGTTACGTGCTTTGTGCCGCTGCTGTTCAAGTTTTCATACAAAATTTGACATTGACATTTCGGTTTTGAAAACTATTCGAATTCGATAATGGTTCATGCTAGGGGTACAGTACAGCAATTTGCAATTTATCTCGAAGAAGGTTGTCAAATTAATGTTCAAATTTCCAAGCCTGTTTGAGAAAATACAATTTACATTTTTATGACGACCTCCGTGGCCGAGTGGTTTGTACGCCGAGTTTCATGGCTGTCGCCGACTCGAGAGGTCCCGGGTTCGAATCCCGGTGGGGGCAGATGTTTGTGTGATGAATACGAGCACTTGTACTCCAGTCATGGATGTTTAATATGTATTTATATAAATATACTTATATATGTACAGTATATGTATTCTATCCGTTACCCTAGCATCCCATAACACAAGCCTTATAGTGCTTACTTTGGGGCTAGGCTAATTGGTGTGAGTGTCGGAAATATTTATTTATTTTATTTATTATTTAACTTAAATTTGCACATGAGTTTTAGTCATGGAAAGATTTCTTCCAGGGCTAACATAAGCTTTTTGCGACTCGATAACGGTGGGTGATACATAAATATTATAGGCACATATAATTATTATAGAAATATATTTTACATAATATTACACGCACAACATAGCAAAATGTATTTAAGCTTGAAGTTATAAAATATATTTTATAGCAAAACTATCGTTCGTTCATAGTGTTTTAAAGTTACATGTTGTTGCTTTGTTGTTAATTAAATAAACAACAAAGAAACAAAATGTAACTATTCCAGAAACTAAAAAAAAATTTTTTTTATACTTTTAAATATTTAATGGTGTGCGATATTTTTGCTCTCAAATATATAATTATTGCATTTACGTTATTCGTGAATGTTACAAAAAGCTAGAAATGAAAAGCAATAAAGTTTTGATACCTCATCTAGATTTGTATGTATGTAAAATTAATATCTTTTATTATAATCAAATGAGGGAATCGTCTTCCGATTATCTGGCGCAAGCCAATATGCAGAGCAATATCACAATGCTTTTACAAAACATGTGTTCAAAAGTTAATTAAATACTGATAAGGTTATGAAATAGCATGAGGCATGCGATTGCAATCTACATCATAAAACCATGACACGTTATTGCAATTAATAAGAAAATTACTGTAATTTTCAAAAATTATAATTATTTAATAATTAACATTATACCTATTTCTACTATTTTTCCACATTATTTCAATAATTGATTTATTTTTCATGTATTAACATTTTCATAGTTATCTTGTTTCAAAAACAAAATACGACGTATATTTGATACATTAAAGGAAAATAATAATCATTTTTAAATGCAAGTTTTTATTCTTATTAAAAAGAACTAAAAGGTTAAAAATAATTTAAGTCTAATAGGAAATACTATATAAAGTATGCTAAAGATTATTACATAAAAGATCTTTTAATGTACTTTAACTAGTGTTATGACGGGAAATCTCAAGGTGCTGTGTGCAAAAAGTTATGACGCAATAAAGCCAGACTTCATCCGCAAAAAAATAGGTTTATTTTTATGTCAATCATCAATTACTTTTAGTGTATTTTATAAAACTATGTTAGTGAATTACAAAAAAATGCGTTGAGTACAACTCGCACAGTAAGAGTTCTGTAAGTACATAATTTCTTTAGCGCCTGATGCTTTTACATGCAAACACGTTTCTTTTTTCTATTCTCTGATAACATCATTATTCCGCTGATGATTTCAGCTAATTTTGCTTTCTTTGATAGTACTTGCGGCATATTATATACGCGTGTAGCTCACCAAAATCAGATTGGTCGGATTGGTCTCGGTCGGGTCCGAGTCTCGAGTCGGATCCGGGTACGTGTATGGAATGGTATGCACAATAGTTGCTCCATCGAAATATTTTTTTCAAAAAATCTAATTTGCTTGGCCTGTATACCGAAGCACGATCGAACCAACTGATTCCTGACGCACTTGCCCGCTAATTTGCTTAAGAATGTCAAAACAGACAAGTTTTTGTTTGTATAGAATGCGTAATTGCACATAGGACCTTCTAATTTTAAGGAAACTGTGTTAATATGGATCAAAAATATTTGAAATTTGACATTTAAAGTCAATGCAAGAGATCATGTTACAGATAAAATTGGAATTGTAGTTTGAATTTCGAAATCGCTTTTTAAATTGCAAACGTAAAAGGAACTTTTTCGATTTCTTGACATTATAAAAAACGTTGGTAAAATAATGTAGAAATCCTTAGTCCATGGGCAAACCTCCAAATAATTTAATTTCCAAAATTAGGTCAGAAATAGATAATAATTAGGTACGGAAGTCATACACGTACATTTAAGCAAAAATCTACCGTATTGTTTTGAAATGGTTGTGACAAAATAAGCTTATGGTGTCAATGTGGGCCAGGAATCAAATTGGCTGATCGAACATTAATATTTATTAAATGTCAGTATGAAGAATTAGATAATAGTATACATAATAATCATAATAATACATTTTTATAATCACAAATATTCGCAAATCACTGCTTATTAGAGATTTTTTTTTCTGTAAATGTAAGATTTAACGAAAGTAGTATTTTATTTGCAAAGCATTTAGTAGGTAGGGACCTATATTGTATTTCAGAACACAAAAAGTTAAATGTCGTCATAATACCATAATATTTTATACTTTACAATTTTACCATTTGATATTTATAACGTTGATTGATATCAACGTCATAAATCAAACGTTAGTCAAACCTTATACAGAAAGTATTAGTTATAAGAAGTCCTTTCTGGGTATGAATAGTTAATATAAGTTAGGTTGAGATCAAATAAACAAATGTTTCATACACTTAAAATAAACTTAAACATGAGATTTTCACAAAACTAAATTATGTAGTTATGTAAATGCACACAATAAGTATAATTTTAAGAATTTAAAGAATATCAAATTAAATGTCACCTCTTATTTAGATAAATCGTATTATGATAAAAGCCGGATAGTTGTCCTACTTTTCAATAAAGCTCTATTGGTCAGTGCATTCGCCTGGATAGCAATGGGTGAGTCCCGTCTGCTGCATGGTCCGCGTGGATTTTTTTCTAGTAAAATTTTCCTTCGGTTATACATCTAGCAGTTAAATGCTTAAAAAATAAAAAATATTACTGAAGCTCTATTGTTCAATAAATAATATGGACTTACTTGTAGATAAGCATTATGTATATCAATACACAGGTTCTTAGTCTTCCACAGTAGCCTATTTTTATAAAGTAAATTAATATTGTTTTGAATAAATCCGATTTTACCAGACAGTTCTTCGAATGATACTTGCCTCTTGTGGTTTTAGATTGATACTATGATTTTTGAAGATATTAACGTATCTTTGTCAATTTGTGTAAGCAGTTTTAATCTTGACTGTTTGTGTGTGACCCGTACTTCAACTTTATTTGAGGACCTTTTCCTCGCAACATTACTCCTGCTGTTGCTGGCAGTATTCTTCTTTTATAATTTTCTAAAGTTATTTGCTCACACGGACAAGCCGCGTGCGCCTAATTCTTCAATTTACATGACATTAAAGCTTACGAGAAAGGTAATTTATATTAGAGAAGAGACACTAAAAATATTCCTAACATAGTCTAATTAAAACTGGAGCCATTATGCAACTGCGGCGACTATCTGGGTTTTACACTAATAAATGACTATTTGCGCCTGCCAGTTACAATAATCTTAACAACTTCTACATTTAAATAAAGTCCTTTTTTAAATTACTTAATACCACTTTAAACAAAAACAATATTGCTAACTACGATGGTCAATGTGGTTTGTGGAAAACTATTTACTATTATTCTTCTTGAGTGACGCTAGGCCACACTATATGGAGCCTCGATTGGTATTTAGAACCAAGCTATTCTTTTAATATATAAAAAGGAACAGACATCTTGCTCTCCATAATTATGTGATTCGTCTAGGTTGGTGCCTAGCTTTATTTCTAGTTTATCTCTAAGGTCTTTATTTCCTTAATCTACTATCCCTAACAAATTTGGCCATCTATAATCCTAAAATTTTGGTTAGAAAATAAAACCAGTATATCTTAAATTTCATAATTTGTTAATATGTTACAAGAATTTCACTATCAGTCCAGCAGCAGTAGAAATCTTTAACGGAAAAAACGGACTGATGATGAGTTAGAATAAAAACAAGAAAATATTAAAAAAAAACTAAGCAATTTTAAAATTAATTGAATTACCAAATCTTTTGCTAAATAACCATCGTAATACTAAGCATTAGCGGAGGTTCTTTATAGAATGACCTCAGCATAAGTTACTCATTATTATGATAATCTGTGTATTGTAGACAATGTGTCGTGGCGCTTTATTTAGATTGTGTGGATCTATGAAATCGAGGTATTAAGAATTTAAGATTTAGACGAAACTGAGCGGAGTTGAGACAAAAAGACGATAATGTTCTTTCGTTTACAGAATTCGAAACAAAGAACATACTACATCGCTCCCTCTTGCAATCCCTTATTTTTATACTCATAAATTTCAATGGAGTGTAAATAACTATGTGCTGTCTTACAAATTTGACGTTCATGAATAAACAATGTTCACAATTGTATTAAATGTTTGTACTTAGGTATTTTAATATAATTAGGCATAATAATATGTTTAATATTACTCTAAATTTATTTTAAACGTCAAAGCCCTTTGATATTAAATTATTAATTGTATAACTTACTTCCATTAATCAAACATATCGACTAAGTGTTATTCTATTAATCAGTCATTAGTTAATCTCTATAATCGAAACTCTAATAAAGAATAATTATAATATATGAATCTTTATTATTGCCTCCAGCAACATACTTCATTACTTTTATAATTAGCATTACTTATTGATGATCAATCGAACTTACCTTATATGAAGTTCTATTACAATTATATGAGTGCTTCATCTGGTCTTCAATTATTTACTCATCATCATCAACCTATTGATGTTCCCACTGCTGGGGCACAGGCCTTCCCTATGGATGGAATAGGGAGATTGGGCCATGACCCAACACGCGGGCCCAGTGCGGATTGGTGGGTGCTAACGAATGCAGATGCAGCCGGGACCAACGGTTTCATGTGCCTTCCGAAGCACGGAGGAGCTCGTGATAGTAGATTTTTGGTCACCCATCCAATGACCGACCACTGCGAAAGTTGCTTAACTTCAACGATCGCAGCGCCATCAAGCTCCTCCAAAAACGTTATTTTACTGAAACATCATACATCTTATCTATACTAATATTATAAAGCTGAAGAGTTTGTTTGTTTGGTTGGATGCGCTAATTTCAGGAACTACTGATTCAAATTGAAAAAAAATGGTTGTGATCTCTGCAGGAACGACGATAACGGGTTCTGCTGTAGCTTGCTCCAGGTTTCCTTTGCCGATTTGGCAGACATTACTGTAGAGTAAATGCGTGGAGCTATGCTAAAACAGCCTTTTGCTCGTGTCTGTTCGTCTAATCGCTTGAAATCTACTATATAAAAATAAGTCGGGTTTTCCTTCCTGACGCTATAACTCCAGAACGCACGAACCGATTTCCACGGTTTTGCATTCGTTGGAAAGGTCTCGGGCTCCGTGAGGTTTATAGCAAAGAAAATTCAGGAAAAATTTCAAAAAAAAAATCTTCTTTTAATCACCAAACGAAATGTTACATAAAACGAAACCATCTGATGGCGAAACGGAGTTCGCCTGGTTTGCTAGTCTATTCATAAGACGCAGATGCACAGGCTACTATCTACTATAACATAGGAACATTTTCATGCCGAAGCTCCAGGAACCAAAGTAAGAGTGTCCTCCCAACTTAGGGATAAGAGGAAAAGCACTGGCGACAATTGTAGTTCCAGCTTGAGATGGAGTTTGCACTGCCCTCGCACCACCATATCTTGTGTTTCGCTCATTATTGAAAGATTCCGTTTCAAAAAATACTTTTACATACTGACCATAACCTGTATATATGTGAAAGCAGCAGAGTGGAAGATAAAATAAAATTTAGAGCTTAAAATATATATACATATATTAACACACAGACAAGACAAGTGACATTGTAAATAAAAGCCAAATAAAAGCATTCAAATAGAAAGGTCGGCAGAGCGTTTCTGTTAGGTACACCATGTAGGTTTAACAAAAACATCGACCGGGGTGGAATAATTTAAGCCAACTGTGCGCAGAAATACTTTGGAACTTTTGCTTACAGTCTTGTACTGAATAAAAGCAAACCGTCCCACCACCTAAAGAAGCACCATCTGTTGACGGGTGAAGTAAACGATTTCAACAGTTTAAAAGGCACCGCCTAGGACGCATACAACAAGCAGTTGATTTCATAGTTTGCAATATTTACGACAGAGGGTAACACTGGTATAACAGTTGCATTACCTTAGTGTATTTTCTATTAAAGGTCGCAGCAGATATATCAACTCGAAAAGGGATCGTCACTGTATCAACTTGAGCCGTTCAGTATTATTTGCACTACAGCTCACGCTAAGTTCAAGGTCCTTAGATGGCTTTTAACACTATCATATACGGAAACAGTTTTTTTTTTGAAAATCACCCAGTGACAGTCATAGATGCCCAAATACACATAATGCATGCACTCTCACACACACCCACCCACACACACATAAAACACGTACACTAAAACACAGACGCACTTAATGCATGAATATAAATTACACTTTTCTTTCATAAAAAAAATATATATATTTTAAGCGCTAGTGAAAACCGTAATTTTGTTTATTTATTTATTTTGTCCGGTCGCCACAATACAGGCATGTCCTAGTGTTGAAGCCGTAGGTAACTCTATAATAATATCAACATTGTAAACTTAAAATTGTTTAATAACATTGTAAACTTTATTTTTCAATAAATTATTATTATTATTTTTTGTATAGTGTTTTTCTTCTCAGCTCTTTGGCTGGTTTTTACTACAATTACGGGCCGAAACCAAGTAAGTGCAGCATGTGTTGTGTTATATTGTTATGTTATAGTGTTGTGATGAGAACCTATTTCGTTTTCATCTATTTGCAAGAACTTTCTGACAATGCGACATGTGGTATTTAAAATTGCAGCTTTTTAGAGGGTTTCTATTATTATTATTTGTATGAAACTTCCTACTGCAACGTATACTTATCAGAATAGTAATGTAATCGCCTCGCCACGGACAAGCTCGTATCTCGAGATGAGGCGATAACATTACGATTGTTTTATGTATTTATATGCCTACTACTACAAAAATTCCACTATATTGACGTAGACGCTCTATATACCGTGTAGACTGTATACCCATCATAGTTTCTGCTCTACCAATATTACAGATATTATAAAATTATAGATCCTAGTACCAATAACAAAGTTACAATCGTACAGTTGTAATTGTAGGCACGGTAGTGCCCCCGCCATGATGTCACAAGCGAAAAACAAGGGCACTACCTACGCTCTAAGCGCTTCGTCGTTTTTTTTCAAGCATTAAAACTTGGGCTTGGTTTATACCAGATAAAAAAACTGAATATGCTGCCAATAGGAAACTTATCAAACATAAAGTTTTAATTGCATGGTTTTTATATTGCAGATTTTATTGATATCTAAATAACCCTGATTTCGTCACTATCACACTGATGATCATCAAAATTCTAAAGGATATTTCCTAGTGTCCTAGAAAGCTCAAATTACGGTTTGTACCTAAAAAAATTAACCCTGTAACCTTTATCCCCCAATCCCTTAAACTAGAGCATAGGAGTTTCTATAAAACTTCCGCAATTTTGGCGTTAGAAGCCTGACTCCCATTTATTATAAGCAATAAATAAATATAGGTATATTTTTTTACAAGCAACTTACTAAAAGTAATCAAATCCCACAAAAAACAGTTTCATGTAAAATGTTGCCAAGACGAGACCATATTGACTTGCATTGTCAAAAAGTTATCAGATCTCATTTAGCCAAGAGCCAAGCTTCCCAAGTTGATACATAAGTGGGCACTGATTTAAGAGTGAGTTTTAGCCCATTCGCATCGCCGCTGCACACAAGATTATTACAATATTTATTATGTTTTTGATATTGTGTAGGAAATGTATGATTATAAATTTTAAAATTTTGTTTTTTATGTTAGTTTTGTATATGTGCATGTTGGTGTGAATAAAGTTTTTCTCTGGTAGTTTTCCAATTACAGAGCATAATGCGACTCATCACCATCACCATCAGCCTATTAATGTCCCCACTGCTAGAGCACAGGCCTTCCCTATGGATGGAATAGGGAGATTGGGCCATGACCCACCACGCGGGCCCAATGCGGATTTGCGGGTGCTAACGACTGCAGATGCAGCCGGGACCAACGGCTTAACATGCCTTCCGAAGCACGGAGGAACTCGAGATAGAAGATTTTTGGTCACCCATCCAATGACCGACCACTGCGAAAGTTGCTTAAATTCAACGATCGCAGCCGAACGCGCTAACCACTTGCGCCATCGAGCTCCTCAATGCGACTCAGTGGCGCCCAATGCCGAATTATGCTGATGCTTAATTGGAACGTGAATTAGTTTTCAAATGCACCAGCAGAGTGCACTAAGTCAATGTTTGTACCTTCATCCATACTTATATTTATTTTTCAACAAAAAAAGGAAATAATATTACTAACGATATTAAATAAATAAAACATTTCGATCAATGCCAACTTAAATAAAAAACGCGTTAATTTTTTGTCACTGAGTTGGTATCGATTGCACGCATCACACGAAAACATTACTTTTGAGAGTGCTCGATTGTGCATAGCGTTGCTGTAGTTGAAACATCAGGTGGGGTGAAGCCATTTGTCGGACCTATCTATAAAAAAAATCAACGTTAAGCATTATGCCGCATAATGCGCTCTAGTGCTGTAATTGGAAAACTTCCTCTATCTATCTCAAATATTTTCTTATCTATTGCTGTCAAAAAAATGAAAGCATCATCATATATTTTTAAGTCAAAGATAAAAAATAATTAAATACTGGGTGCGACTGTTACTAACTGTGCAATGTTCCACATTCGGCATTTTTTGAAAAACCATGTCCATTAACGAGCTGGCTGGCTTAATCATTCTCTTTTACTATCAGACCAGTGTTCTATGACAGCAATTATATTTCAAATTACGTATCTGATCTGAAAACATAAAAATGGCGGTACAATTTTACCTATATACTAGTACATTCCCCAAGGATCAATCTGGGACATTCTAGTAAAACATTCAAAGAACTGAAATAGTCAATGTCGTATTCTACGCGTCGTCCCTTCGTTGAAGCATTGAAATATTCAGGTGTGTACCAGATTTATTATAGTTTCAACCAGGTGAAAAGTTACATTGGTATATACGACAGTCCTGTGTGGAGACTGGAGAATATGTTGGTTATTTTTACTTGGCTGACATTCAAGGACTGTGGTTTGCTTACTCTAGTTTGTAATAATTTGAAACAAATCTGAAGCTGTCACTTTAATATCTTAAACTTATTAAAAACAAGGACACGTCTTTGAGTGATACGTAACTTTAAATTTATAAAGAGGTAGGCAGTTAAGCATAGTGTCATATGGATGAATCATATTGATGTCAAATCTTAGGGATTTTGAGTAAAAGCGGATATTTAGACAATGGTGATGACTTTGGTCAATCTTACTGTTAACGAATTAAAAAAAATACTTAAAGGTACAGGGGGTCCGGCGGGGATACATTAAGTTCCCCAAGAGTATTTTTTTAAGTACGAGATACCACCCACTCACAATAAATTGTCACAATATTTTCCTGGTTATAAATAAAATAATGATCTTTTTTTATTACCCTATTCATGATTCTTCCATAACATTAATGACCTGCTTTAATTCAAATTGTTTTTTACCTATCTGTTGAAAATACCTCAAATAGTATTTAAGTAAAAAATCTGAGTATTAAAATCTAAAATGCCAACAGGTACGTTCTAAATGCACGAAGCTTATCCTAAACCTCTCTGTCACAAAGTGGAACAGTGAAAAATGGTTGAATGATTGCGAATGGCCTAGCTTCAAAGCT